ATCACATTTTTTTATCCACAACGAGGTAGCTCTTGGCCTGTATCTCACCTGATGGTAAGTGATGATCAGGCCGAAGGTGGAAGCAAGCTTCACCCGGAATCCTCAAACACGGAGGAACTGGCTAACTTAGGTACCTCTAACTGCCGGAACACAACAATGCTGTTAACATTGTTGTTATGGCGACAGACTTAGGTAAGATGGTGGTAGCTAGCCAGGCGGACTTAGAACAAGCCCTACCACCAACCAAACTGAACAGAAAAATCTGCCCCCACTGGGAATCGAGCCCGGGACCTCTGCGTCTGAAGCAGGTGGTCTTACCACTAGAGGCGGTTGACATTATACATTGTTGTTGCAAAACCGCTCTTATTTAGAGATGGGTAGTGGGTAAAAACCCATTTCACCCGATTGGGTTAATATAATGGGTGATAATGGGTAAAAACCGGGTTTTTACCCATTATCACCCATTCTGGTGGGTGAAAACAAAAATAGCGTTTTTTTTAAAGTGAGAAGTGGTATTTGTTGCTAAGGGGGCGTTCTAGTGTAATGCAATCTGGGGGGAGAGGAGGTCTTGAAAAACGTTACAATGCGTTACAGTGGCGGAAGGGCGGTTCGATTTCAAGTTTTTAAGCAGAAGTACTTTGTAGTTTGTGTTGTTATTTGTAACTTTATACCGTAATGTCATCAAAGAGAAAGTTTGGCATCTTTGGCTCTTCCGTTTAGATTTTTCATACAAAAGGATTTTCCTGCTAATTCCTGTTCCCGTGGGAATTCCTAAGTATACTATAACCTGCCCAGGAGTATGAAAAATAATTGTACCAAGTTTCGTTAAAATCCGTCGAGTAGTTTTTGTTTTTTTTTGATGAATTTTGATGGCCAGAACTGGCTCATGACTGTGGCCAGAAATGGGGTAAAGCTGGCCAAAAGTGGCACAAATTCCCATTTCTTTTTCTTTTCTACAGGATTATTTTTCCATTGAATCATTATGAAAAAAAAATGTATTCTTAGGCTAGATCTAAATATATTTAATCACTTTTTACAAGAAATAAGTCCGTGATAACAAAAACTGTAAAATGATATAGCCTCAAAGTCTAAAAAATTCTTAAAATGGCCAAAACCGGGTCACCTGCCCTATGCATTTATAAAACTTTCGAGCTAGCTCACTGATATTTTAAATTTAAAATAGGTGCTTGTGAACAAAACCTAGCAGGTTATACAATACCCTAGAATGATACTTGTTCTGTGCTTTTTTATTTCAGATATTTTCAGATCACTCTTTACTTGAGCTGAGTATTTTTTTCGATAGACTTTTTCATTTCGTTTTTAGGATCGTATTTACATTTTCAGCAATTTCCTCTTCAATTTTCCAATTCCATTTCCATTTGCTCGATAAATGTATTACGAGTGAATGAATTATCATAAATAGATCGTATAAGTGAGTATAGCTATACTTATTACTGACATGCAAATAATATATTTCAATATGATTAAAACATGTATTCGAACAAACGAGTAAACAGCTTTATGCCTGACTTTTGCGCATCGTAATTTAATCAATATCCTGGAAACAGGCTTGCATAATTGAATAACTTACAATATACTGGAAATACTGGATGATGCAATGATCGTTGTTGTGTCATCACAAAGCACCTTTTGTCTTATTTTCCTTTTTGAAGGACATTTAAAAATATCTACCNAATAACACCATTTTATAAAATAATTGGTCACATCATTATAACGTGATCAATTTGACGATTTGGCCACGATATAAATGCATATTAGTGTTAAATTTGACTTATTACTTATTAATCAATAAACTTAAATGAGAAAAATTCAATAAAAATAAAGAAAAGATGCCAATTGAAATAATTATAAAATTATTTGTTTTCACCCGGTGTAAACACCCACGGGTGGAATGAAACGGGTTTTTATTGGGTTTTTACCCTCATGTGGGTTTTTACCCGGGTGGAAACCCATCTCTACTCTTATTACGACTGTACAAGATGCCATGTGTTCAGCTTATTTTGCCGTCATCTGTATCTCTGATTGAGATATTGGCAAGAGGTCTTGCCCTAGAGATTCAGCATCCACTGCTGATCTTCATCTCTCCTTTAAAAACTTAAGTAATATCTACAAATTCTTTGAATACTTTGGCGACGGTTAAAGTTACGAATCAATATGCAATACACCCAGTATTGCTTATCGATTTATTGTAAGCACTTTTTTCTTTATTTTTTATCTTTTTAATGTATTTTCCTCTGTGTATCTGGACTTCATTTCGTGTACCGAACTCATGAATCTTTTGATCTAAGTATGTACAATTTTTAAAGATTCATTAAATCTTTTATTTACTGTTATGTTTATGTCATTTAATACATATTTTAAAGTAACGTATAAAGTTCGTTGTCCTTCCTTTTATGATAAATCTACACACACAACGACAGTAACGTCCTTACTTCCGCCATAACGTAAACAGTCGCTTAAATTAGCAATTTCCGATAAATTCTTGATTAACATGATAATTTTATTACTTACACCTAATACCCTGTTTATTTGACATCTTTCAGACTGTAGGTTCTACCAGGCATAAAACAACTCCGTTGATACATTATCAAGTTAACGTAGACCTATACCTAGGCACTTATCTGTTTTATTGTCACTCAAATGGCAGAATTAATTAAATCCGACTCAAGAAAATGACAATGCGAAAACGGCGAGAAATTCGTAAAAGGTTTGGCTCAAAATACTTGGATATTTTTAGAAGAATAATCCTTTCTTCCCTTGTCTTAACACGTTGCCTTGGATAGCCGATGAAAGGTAAAAAAATTGTGGCGATTCCAATAATGGCCATCATTTGTCTGCTCCTCGTGAAACATCAGTGGAATTTTGCCAGAACTGCGATAAAATTAAGTAGGTATGTATTACAAGTATTACACATTAGGCAAACTGTCACATTTATTGGAATATTTTTTCTATGACTTAGACTAAAAGCTTGAATCTCGTTTTTTTTATTTGCATAGTGTAGTACTCGTACAATATAATGACACAATCAACCTATTATTGAAAATATTAACAATCTTAGTTAAAACATAAATATGATTCTCTGTAGGTACACCTATCTATTAAGGTTTAATAGCAATACTTTGGTAGGCAGGCATATTATGCTAAATACTTATGCAAAACTTTAAAAAACATTGCTGAATTATGTGAGGTCGTTGACCAACTTTTTCTTAGATGCTGCGTAATAGAAACGAGCTTACTTTTAAGCTTCGTAGTATACACTGCCTAAGGCCGCTTGTTCATGCTAAGAAAAGTCGCTGGGCCTACGCAAGAATTCGTGTCGTTTCTACACACGAACTGTGTACTCCGGCGCTGACCAAGAAAAAAATCTTGTCTGCGCTAGACACGACACGTGGCTGTGTGACTTTTCATAGCGTAGCGTCCGAGGAAATTCTTGTCTTGTCTGCGGTTTTTCTTAGCGTGTACAAGAAGCCTAAATGCGTCAAAAGTTCAAACCGTCAAACTTTTGAGACAGAGGAACAAATCTCTTGTGCCTGAAGATATGAGATTTGAGTAGAGTCAGAAGTACCTAGTCTAAAAAGTACATAATATTAAAATGTCTGCTTGCTGGCAAAATGCTGGTTTACTTAGTGCATGACTTACTTGATGGTCCTATGTCCCCTAGATGGGGCAGAGGGCGTCCACAACAGTCCTCCATCTCGTTCGGTCTTGAGCTTCTCGCTTGATCTCGCTCCAGGTTTTGCCGATCTTCTTCACCTCGTCTGCTACAGTGCGCCGCCAAGTTTGCCTGGGTCGACCACGTTTGCGTTTTCCTTGGGGATTCCAATCCAGAGCCTGCTTAGGGATGTGATCGGGGTCCCTTCGGAGAGTGTGGCCAATCCAGTTCCACTTGCGGCGCTTGATCTGCTGGTCGATCGGAATTTCGTGGCAGCGTTCCAATAGCTCGACGTTGGAGATTTTCTCGGGCCAGTATATGCCGAGAATTCGGCGAAGGCAGCGGTTGATGAAGACCTGCAGCTGGTGCGAGATAACCTTGGTGACCTTCCACGTTTCACACCCATAGTGCATAGAGAGCAATTTTAGTGGTTTCTCCGCTACGACCTACTAGGCCGATGTTTCGGGACTTTCAGGACTCTCCTATTAGGGTTCCCTCTAAATTAAAACCCATGAATAGATTCCATGAGACCCAACCCCGCGCGGGCACAATCGCAGGCAAGAAATAGCGTGTAAAAACGTTCCAAAATAGCGCCAATTTTTGACAGAGATGTTAACAGGCCATTAATTAATGGGACTAGAAATAGAATAAAAATGTCTGCAAACCGGTTCAGAGTGTAAACCCCAGTCAAGGTGAGTAGCACGCTTCCACCGCATGCTCGGGAGCTCTCTCCTGCATGATGGCCACGTGATATTCAAACTTGATGATGGCGGAAAACTTGTCTTTAACGACTTATTAAGAATTATTATTTAATTTATCAAATTTTTGTTAATACAAATGTAACACGCAGTTGCAATACTAAATGTATTATAATACCAACTTTATCGTCGTAATCATTTCTAACGATATCAGTTCACAGCTGGACGTGAATTTCCGTCAAGAATCGCCACAAAGAACGAACTAGCTTTTTTCATCCACCTAATAATTCTTATGATCGACGGTACATCGAGCTGCGTCTGTAGCAAGCAATGTAAATAAAATTGGGGAAACGATACTATTTTATGAAAACATCTCGTACCTATGAATCCTATCTTTGACATCGGTTGTGCGCTAAATAAAATTAATGAAATCTTTGACATCGGTTGTGCGCTAAATAAAATTAATGAACATTTCCAAAAGTATGATTACGTAAGTTTATACAGTTACGAGTACGTCATCATGAGTCACCGAAACATGATTCGGTTTTTCAAAATTTTGTATATTACTAGTACCTATATTGGGAACCTTAAGTGTTATGTAATCAAAACAATAATGTGCATAAAAGATATTTATTAAAACAGCCTTAGTATCACTCTACATAAGGTTTGATGATGACGTCCTCACTGCGCCTCCTCCGTCTGTTACAGAACCACTCGAGGAGCAGCACCACCGATGCTGTGAAGAACCCTAGAAAGAAACACATGAAGTTTGATTGAGGGTTAACTGTTGACCAAAGACCACGATAGCACGGTGAAGGGGTCGAACAGGCCGACTCGAAATCCGAGGAACGCTGGTTCGAACCCCGCCGTCGCTTGCCTTTTGTGGTGAACCCACTCGTAACACACGCATCGGAATTAAACTTAATATGAGGGGAAGACGTAGTGTGGACAGGCCTCCCACTAGGGGGACCGACGATCTGGTGAAGGTCACGTGAGGTGCTTGGATGCGGGCGGCGCAGGACCGGTCTTAGCGGAAATCCTTGGGGGAGGCCCTTGTCCAGCGGTATACTTCATTCGGCTGAAATGACGGGGGATTAACGACTATTAGTAATTTGTGCAATACAAATCAAGTACTTTAAATTCTTTAAAACCTTAGATTAGTTGCCTCAAGGTGGCTTTGAAGGACAATTGAATCTTCAGTACCAAACACGCTTACTGATACTGCCTAGTATAGTAGACACCTACTGATTACATTACCATTCGCCGACATATCTTTATATGTAACGACATTTTAAATGTATTACCATTCTAGTCTTGCAACTCGTTAGACGAGTTTAGATCTATATGGCTTTATATCAAACCATCCATGTTATATACCTATCAGAATTAAATGCCAAAGGTAAATAAAAGCAGCTTCGACCAGGAGTTGCAGGTATCCTCTCGAGTGCTATGAAATTACCGCCATAAGCTTTCACCACCACTTTCAGCAATGAAAACTCCCAAATCCCACCGAGCATAAAACTCAGCCACGGCCCAGCCTATGAGTTCACTACTGATACGTTAGTGGACTTTGAGCTTCATACTTTAGGCTACGGTCATAAACTTGCGTTCCTGGTTGTTTTATAGACTCTACTAGCTTTCCGCCCGCGGCTTCGCCCGCGTGGAATTTTGTCTGTCACAGAAAAACTTTATCGCGCTCGTTTCTGTTTCAAAAACCGGGATAAAAACTATCCTATGCCCTTTCCCGGAACTCAAATCTCTATGCCAAATTTCATCAAAATCGGTTCAGTAGTTTAGGTGTGAAAGCGACACAGACAGATAGACAGACAGTGTTACTTTCGCATTTATAATATTAGTTAGAACTTTAGTAGAGCTTAATAAGATATAACCGTCGGCTTTCCATATCATCTTTGAACCAGAAACATAGCTAAGCTTAAGGCTGAGTTGCACCAACAACTTTAACAATAACCGGTGCTTTTTGTATGGAGTTTGACAGATTTTTGACGTTTGTTAAAGTTATAAAGCAAGATGGTGCAACTCAGCCTAAGTTTTTTGTGGTTGTGTAAAAAACAAGTGAAGATCTTATCTACAGTTACACTAAAGTGATCTCTATTATCAACGCACCAAGGAATAACACGAAGAAAGAGCCCTGCATGTCGCGCAGGTTGACAGTATGGTTGTTCACCTCCTGCGCAATGCTGGAGGTCTTCCAGCACCGGTCGCGCTTCGGCAAGTAAGCGAACAACCACTTGGAGATGAGCCCTGCCTTTTGCATACGGTTGATCCTGGAAATGTTAAGTCATCATAAGAGTGGGAACTGGGGATAATGTACACAGATACACTAGGGGACAATAATTAATGTCCGATGCAACTCAGATTCTACATGTTGCAGCAACGTTCCCAAACTGCCCCTGTATTTCGTCGCAAAACATTATACTTGACCGGGACATGTTTCGTGTTGACTCTCTGCGAGCAAAAACACGAGTCCGAGTTTTCTAGAGTTTATTCCCTAATGTAGAAGTGTGCGCAATTTTTTTTTCAGAACATGATGGCAGCACCAAACAAGACAACCTCTTCGGAAACATCCCCGCAAATACTAACTAGGAGGCGTTTAGACCCCTGTCAGTTCCAGGAACATCACGTAGTTGGTCAGCGACATGTTCCGCTACATGTTGCTCCATTTGTCCCTTATTTTATCCGTAGCCATATGAAAACTGACTTTATAAGGATTAAAGCAAAAGAATCAGTTTCGATTGATCTGTAACCACTTACTCTTTATTTATAACGGGCAAGTACGGACTGCCGGCGGGCAACACCATTGCCAGCTGCTCGTCCATGAATTCTTCTGCACCTATAATAACGGGAACCTTAAAAGAATAAAGTTAAAAGGGGTCCTTCTAACTAATAGAGGTACAATCTACTCTACGCTTTTGAGAGAAACGTCTCTATTAAAACATACAAGTCTTTCTCAGGGATACCATGTAATGTTGACGATTTTGGCAGACATTCACAGGATCATTTCATCTGTAGTGACGTAGATATTGCAACCTACCTGCCTAATATTATTTGTACATTGTGCAGCAATATCTTTTACTAGCGGCAGCCCGCGAATTCGTACGCGTGGATCCCGTTTTGCCCCTCTTGTGGGTTGAATTTTGCAAAATCCCGTCTTAGTGAGCACTTACGTTCTAAAAGGAACCCCCATTGAAAATTTGAGACTCATGGCACTTGTAGTTTCCGAGATTTCGTGATGAGTGAGTGAGTCAATCAGTCAGTGACTTTTCGCTTTTATAGATACAGATTTGAAAATAATGTAATCACTCACTGAGAGCAAAGTCGCAAGTATCTGTGAGCATGTGCTCAGCCCGCATAAGGTAGCTCAGCCTGAGCTTCCAGTCAAAGATGACGTGCCTCTGCTCGCGTATACGTATCAGCTGCTTCTTCCCTGCAACAAACCATACGATGCTCGCCGTGATAAAATTTTGTCGATTTTAGACGACAAATGTATGGGCTTATCACGTTACGATAAAATAGCGTGATAAAACCTTATCGCGGCGTGCATCCTAGGCCTAAAATAAGAGTATACTGTTTTCAAATTATTACATTAGTGTGTGTATTCACCTCAACTTTTGTTAAGCGATTATGAGCCTCTGCAGCCATAGTATTAATTATGATTTCGGATGAAATTGCAAGCGCTTTGGTCATACTTAGGACCATCCTAGGTAGACAGAACCTATGTGTATACATATTTGGTTTCTTCTTTTAAAATAACTTAAGTTTAGTCAAAATAAGACCAGGTATATTTGGTAATCAAGCATGTCATCCATAATATCGTGCTCTGTGACTGTGAGGTTTTTAGATTACGATATTTCCATGAGCCTATTATCGTTTTCATTTGACTAAAAGAGTTTTTCTAAACTTGGCTAAACAGTGTCATGGCTTTTAAGCCTTAGGTAGGTACAAGGATTTCGTAGATTTCTCGTTAATCCCCTCGCAGTAATCCTGCGGCAAAAAGATGACTTGCAAAGAGAATCCTCACTCTACTCGAGACTTCAAGTAAATACTTAGATAGGTTTATCATCTTAACGCTTAAAAAAACAAGTTAATCTAATTACTTAATAGGTACTACTTACTATTGTAATTCATACACATTTTCGTACTTCTATCGTTCTAAAATCGTCTAATCCATTTCAATTGTTACTCCCAAATAATTGTCTTTTCATTTTAAGCCCAATATAATTAGAATAAATTAGCTTAATTAGTGTTATTTTGCTATTATTGATTATGCTGACTGATATACCTATGCAAATTCAAAAACGAAAATAGCCTAATTTCATCCTTAAGTAGAGAATGAGCATTCCTTAAGCTTAAAATCTCCAAAGCCGGGGGTTAGTGTCTAAATCCAGCAGGCAGCCAGCCTAATTTTTTGCTGGCTAAGCTAGCTATAAATGATAAAGCGAATATTAAAACACGTCACCCACATGAAGACAGATTGCCGCCTGCGCCCGCTCCGCTCAGCTCGGCTCCCTTCAGCAGCGCCGCGTACTTCGGCTCGTCGGAGTTCTGGAATGGAATATAATTATGATTGACTGCTTTATGTCGAGATTATATTCACCAAAAGCTTTTAAGAAAAAGTTTAAGCCACAAATCGACAAGTGACAGACAGCACATCTCTACATTTTTTATTTGATTGTTACAATGAAAACCTTTATTCCCATCCACCACCTTCAAGCTTGTCACCGGGGTGACAGACAGCACATTAGACTCTACATTTTTGATTTGATTGTTACAATGAAAACCTTTATTCCCATCTACCCCCTTCCGCTGCAATACATGGAAGATCTGCAACTTTAACGCCAATGAAGACAGTGTGTCCCAGGACAGTTAAACTATTTTATCGAAATGCAACTAGTTCTTAAATAGATTTAGAATAATTGATATTGAAACGCTTGTAACGATTTAAATAACTACCTTCAATTCCATTTCCAAATAGGACCCCTTTTGTATCGACCACGTATACGTGAGTTTGTTTTCCAGCAACTCTCCTATGGTGGTCACTGGGATCTCCTGCTTCGGGAATGTGAGGAAGGCCACCAGGTTTCCGGAGTAGGTGGTTACCACGACCAGAACCACCAACCACCAGGTGCCAACCACAAGACGACCGCTGTCAGCCCTTGGTAAGTACATTCCACCTAAAAGGATGTATTAGAACTTGAAACTTCAAATCTGTTTCTTTAGCCAAATGATTTATCTCTTTGAATTATTCCGGTTAATAACTATGTTCGTTTTTACAATTTATTACAATAAGAGTAGGTGTAGGTAGATAAATAGGTAACCATAGATACATTGTATTGCACGTTGTTTATTAAATATTCAATGATACTAGTTAAATTAACATACTGAACATACTGCCTGCAAATGGGACAAACATACCTTCACAAAAGTAGGTAATGAGAATTTAAATAGAATTATTTGATAAGGAAAACCTTTAGTCATCGTGAATCGTCATTGTATTTCTAATAGGTATTTTTTTTATTTTAAGGTGCAGGCTATAAATGGGTAAGAATATTTTTCCTTTTTTATAGATTGTTTTAAATAAGATCACATGTTGTTGTCAAAATATTAATCGGTCTTTATGACAATACTTCACGCAATATTAATACCAACAATACCAACCAGCATAATTCTTTAAAAAATATATACAAATGATCTTACCCTGTTGCAGCAACGCCCCATAGACGTACCACAGACAGTTGTGGATGGTGGATAGGCCACCCTGGCGGGTGATCTCCTTGGCCTCGTAGTACGGGCTCAGGCGGTGGATGATGTACAGCGTCGGGCCCATAAGGATCACCCCAAGACCCAGGCACAGCCACGTCTGCAACGGCCAGAATTTAAAAAACAAAAGAGGTAAGTGAAGTACAAACTAGCGTCAAACAAATAACCAAATGTCGTGGCTATGAGGTAGGTACATGCATGCATACTACAAAATACGATTTACTTGCTGAGCTACTTGCGATAGCACATCAAGCTTCAAGCAACTTATGCCATGTTAAGATGTGCTGTTACACCGTATGCTGTGCTCATCACAGCTAAATGGTACTGGTATCACTTCACTTGTGCTTGATATTCATAGTGTTCTAAAAGTTTACTGTAATAGGGCGTGGCAGATACTAACATCAGTGGTGAAAGGTAGCAAGAACAACAACGCTCGGCTAAGCTCTCGCGGCCGAGCGATCATGAAGCTGTAAGGTTGAGTGCTAACCGCTAGCGTGTAATTGATACCTGTAAAAGATAGAGATAAAAAAATGTATATCAAAAGTAAATACGTAGTCCCACGTTGGGCGCCAATTTCATGAAAGTGGCGACGAAAGAAAACCTCCCTAAAAATTGTGATAAAAGATAAACAATTGATTTATGTAACTTATTTAATGTATATTACCAGATGGCGGGTCTGAAAGAACTGTGAAAGCAACTGCCGCAATAGCAGCTTGGCCCTTCGCAACTGCTATCAACGTCAATGCTGCGTCTTGACTGTGCATCATCTACAAAAACATCGTTCAAGTAAGTGTTATTCACAGCTAAAAATAATTGAATAACATATTTAAAAAAATTCAAATTAGCACTTACATCCGCCGTAGTATCATTAGATAATAAGTTTTTCACATGACTCGGAAGAATCACTTTAACTCTGAAAAAAAAAGTAAAGTAACCAATTCGGAAAATGACTAAACTTTTAACAAAATCATGAAGCACTTACGTGAAGTTCTTATTTTTGGCCAGCTGGTTTACGATGTCGAAAATTAAACCACTGCAGCTGACCACTGAACCAGATTCGTTGACTTGAAGAATTGTCCATGGTGGGTTCTAGAAAATTATAGAGCTTTTAGTACATGTCTTGGTAGCCGGGCACTTCTTAATCTAATGGTGCGTCCACACTGGGCGAATATGCTCGCGCGGCAAACTCGACATCCTGCTCACCCTGCTCTTGAGTAAGCAAGATGTCGAGTTTGCCGCGCGAGCATATTCGCCCAGTGTGGGTGGACGCACTATAAGAGGTATGCAACCAGATCTAACTAACTGTGCTCCTTGCAGTAATGTGACTCTCCCTCGCAATCACCCGCACACCTCCCCGCGTTCGTCCCGTCCGTACCAGAGCGTTGATATAACATCACGGCTGTCACTTGCCAGGTGCGCTTAACTCGATCGAGGTGTCGTACAGATGTTGTTGTGTGTGCGCAACTAAACAAAATAGTAATAGACTATTCTCGACTTTTCAAAATACTTACATGATAGGTTATTATCGGTAAGGCTTTTCCTCTAAACCCGTGCTCCACGTGGGGGAATAAGACGTCTTCAAATCGCAATGCGTCTATTGGACGCCAATAACCAACCTGCAGAAAAAATAAGATCCTGAACTGTTAAAGAAAGCACCAGTCTATCCTTCTTTATGTTGTTTTTTATTGACTTTATGAGTCACATATTGCAACCCTTGAGGTATGCAACTGTGACATACGGAATAGTTATACCCTTTCGACGTATACGTTAATGTTAGGATTTACCTACTGAGTTTAACAAAATAGGTTAATAACTACATAATAATATTCAGCTGTATGCTGTATTCCAAACAAATGTTGCTCTAGGTAACTTTATTTACTCACTTGCAGCAGATCAACGTGCTCTATAACTCCTTTAGTTGTTGCGTTGTCTGGTTCTTTGAATAATTGGTCTGAGTCCCCATAGGACCGGTAGGTGGCACCCCAAGTGTCTGCTGCCAGGGCTCGCCATGTGCTACAGTTGCCACAGCTGCTTTTAGTTGATATGTGTTGCTGGACATGGGAAAAGTTCATATGAACACTTTAAACCGGGTCTTTTCAAGGCGAGAGTAAATAGGCAGATAGGTACAGGGCAGATATAGGGCAGATATGTACCATCCTAGACTGCATCTCACTTAACATCAGATGCGATTGCGGTCAAATACCTGCCTTGTTTTGCATTTAGGATGTACCTATCAAAAACTTCAGATACTGGGCGGCTTGTTACGCCTAAACAATAAGCGAAAGCTGCAATAAGCAGACGATTTCATAGCTAAGCTACATCATCATCATTAGTATGCAGAAGCACGATTCTCTTTAATTTACCAGAAATAAATGGAGTAATTTAGCCTACACTCCGCAACTGGCCAATGGATTAGGGAAGCCTGAACTTTGCATTCTCACTTTCTTTGGCCATATTACACGTGGAGACGTCGCTTCTGTTGAACGACTTGTCGTGCAGGGGAAGGTTGAGGGCACAAGAGCGCGCGGCAGGTCGCCCATGCGCTGGACTTACCAGGTCAAAACCGCACTCAATGGCCACGATTGCACAAGAAAGGCTGTAGTGTGGGAGGAATGGCGACGGATTGCCACCGGACCGGATGTGACGACCACGACCCTCTGGTAAGAGTGTAGCGACGTAGAAGGAGAGCTTTGCATATTTGTCCCTGAGAGCTACGTCACAACATCAAATACCTGCATATGTTTGAGCAACATGCCCCTCCTCTGTATCTTGTTGGGCCGGATGGCCTCCCATTCCTCGTCAGACACCTGGGCTGCCACGTCGAACTCGTCCTGGACGGCTGCGTCCAGTGCTGATATGAACGCGTTCATCATCTCCTGACAGTAGCACATCAGCCCGTTCTGAAGTCAAATCATAATAGGCTCGTAGGTTGCTGTAGCGACTTTATAAATTAGGAGACTGATAATGTAAGAGCGAAGAAATGATGAGATGAGCCAAGAAAAGATAAAAGTCCCATTATGGAATAACAATCCCAACTCAAAGTGAATGTTTTGTTTTTGGGGAAGACTAAATAAATCCATGTCTCTCTTCTCTTTTCTTCATATTACATTGATTCATAATTTACTCACCTTACATTCTGGGTTACTTTCCGTAATATTGTACATGAACGCAACATTTTCTCCCTCATACAACGCGTTGATCAGACTCGACAAATTCCCGTTTTGGGCGTCTGTGTCCGATATGACGTATAACCACTGCGCAAGAGTGTGCGACATGACCAGATCGCGGGCGATTTCTGCCATCGTAGTCATTACTTCAGTCGTTACTATTGCCATGAAGTTTTCGCCTGAAGGATATAAAGGATATTTTTTTATAATTGGTCATAATATTACAGTTTTACTAAGTTTGCCAAAACGGGGCTTAGGCAGTTCCCTAATCCCTCATACTCATCGCTAGTCCCACTAGTCGAACCTCCCATGATGATTGGACCAACTGCATTCTCATTTACTCATAACTATTATACCTAATTCTTTCTATATCTTAGCTAAGTACCTATGTATTTCACTGGTAATTTGGACAGAACTCTGGTTATCTCTTTACGCCTCAGGTACTCGTTTATCTCGTGCTTCATTTTGTAAACTGACACAGAAACTGGGGATGTGGAGGCTCCCTCATCAATCTGCACCGTCAATGACTGCACCACTCGCGATACCATGTCTCGACCTGAAAGAAAACAGGTATAATGTCTATTAATCAGAATTTAGAGCAAGAAATATCGTTTTTCGGTCTAGGCACATACTTAACGTATCATCATGCAAGATCACAGCGGACTTCCACTTAAAAGCCATCTCTGTCCTCATGTCCAATAAAATCTGAGGCAGTTCTTCACCGGGCATCACGTTCGTGACGGTTATGGCCGAATCCGTCGGCAGGCGAGGGCAGTCCACTTCTGTTAGCGCGAATAGGAGGAGTTCCTCTTCTTCTGTGCGGGAGAACAGCGACCACGTATCCTCGCATGATGCTACACTGAACACAGCCAAGAAACCTGGGCCATATTTTTAATGTTAGTAAGGTAGGAAAATCAAACTAATAGACAACAAACATAACCAAAACTTACCTTTCTTCAGACTAATGGTTGTCCACGAAAAGTAATGCACAACGACGCCACCATGTTTGAGCTCAACCCTCGCCAACTCCTTGATGTAGTCCTTGAGCTCGTCCAAGGTTGCTTGGTACTGCTCGCCAAGAAACTGTCGGTCTAGCACTACGGCTAGGGTAAAAAGCGGTTTTAAACTACGTTTTAGGATAACAAACGAATCGTGTATAAAATTCTACAAACCTATAGACGCATTTGCAGTTATCAGAGACGGGAACTCCTCTCCTGACACTCGCAATAAATACAACGAAACAAACAAACATATCCGCATGTTGGCACTGCACGATCGAACCACAAGCCGCGCCTCCCCAAAGTAAACTTGCAGTCATAATTCGTATAAAAACCAAGCTATTCTAATAAAAAAGAGGCTAAATATTTTAAGGTATGATTAAATACCAACTAATAAGTCGGCGAACACAGCTGGGTCATGTTACCTATTAATGCTAGCGAATGAAATCAGAATCGGTGAAAACATTACGTGTTCTGTAAGAATTGTACAGGATGTTTTAGTTTCAGCCGACCTAAACAAAAGCTCTAATATAGTACCTACCTAGTTTTCTTTAATACTATACTGTTTTGATTAACGGCTAAATAATTTAAATAAACTTTGTAATTACTATTTTTTATCATTAGGTACTTTGCTCTTGTTTTAGGGCCTTAGGTAGGGCATTTCCGGTCGAGCTGCTCATCTCACTCAAGGCTCTGCTTGCTAAGACTTTAAACTTCCTGAACATCCTGTCATTTTTTTGTGTAAGGAAGTCAAATGAATCATTGTCGACTATTTTCTAATGTAAACATTTTTATTTTCTGTTCAATCCTTTACTATCTTTCGAATCATATACCGAAAAATTGGTTGAGACATTTAGGACACCCTGCACGAGACTAGCGAAAGGTCAGGACCAGTTAATAATGCACACTAATTACGGCAGCCGGCTAAGCCTGATTGCCGTAACCGTGACGCGTGTGTATCACTTCTGGATTAGATTGATGTTTCTGGAGCAAACGATAGTATTGTAATAATGTAAAACGGCCTCGAAGTTGGTAGTTGCCTCTACTGTAGGTATAGTAAGATGTATGAGTACGATTGCACAAATCCTTGTATATATTATTTTAATGGATTGACGAAAGGATTATCGATGTTCAACTGAAAAAATTGCTTACCAAAAGAATACATAAATCCCTATCGATATTATTTATATCAAGTGCATTTTATTAAAAAATAAATTATAATTAATTGTATGTACCTATTTTTCTTTGCTTAAAATAAAAAAAAGTCATAATGTCAAATCTTGACATGTGACAGTAATGACAGATGACAGTCGGCCAACTTCGCGACGTCATTGCTGAATGTTTGTTTACCTGATTGATCTGAAGAAGTTTTGAAAGAAATTCAAGTAAATGTCGAAAAAATACCAAAAATGTTTCATCACGGTGGGTACAACACGTTTCGATTTGCTCGTCGAGACCATCATGACTCCTTCAGTTCTAAAAAGCCTAAAGAATATGGGTTGCAAAGTGATAACCTTGCAAATCGGCAATAGTGATTTCCAGCCAGGTATTTACGATAAAGAAGGGGTTCAAATTAACGCATATAGATTGAAAGATTCTATATTGGACGATATAAACAACGCGGACCTTGTTATCAGCCACGCAGGAGCTGGGAGCTGCTTAGAAGTCCTAGAAGCTCGGAAACCTTTACTGGTGGTTGTAAATGAGGAACTAATGGACAACCATCAGATAGAGCTAGCTGAGCAGTTGCAAGTGGACGGGCATTTGTATTATTGCACCTGTGACACCATCGAAAGTACATTAGATATGCTAGACTTTGGTATGTTGAACCCATTCCCGAAGCCAGATCCAACATTATTTATTAGGTATTTAGATGATGTGTTTAGAGTTAAACCTAAGGCTAAATAATTGTAAGTTTCTCGTGTTTTATAATGTACAGTAACTTTTAATCTTACAGCATAGTAAGTGTAAATAAATATAATACCTAATACCTTGTCTAAATTATTTGAAAAATGTGTTATTATACTTTTATTTTATAAAAGAGTAGAAACAGACAATAAAGGGAAACATCAACCTAAACACTATAGCAACTTATGCAGTTGTAATATGTATGATTTTGCAAGAAAACTGTGTAGTTTTGACTGTGCAAAATGAAATGGCTGTTTGCTCAAAAATTATTTATTTATTTAATAAAATAGAATACAATAAACTATTAATGTGATGTGCTTCATTCCATATTACTTATATTTTTATTTATTTAAAATCTTTATTGCACACAAAAAACAGTTAGTTGGATAAAAAAGCAGGTCATAAGTCCAGCAGGACTGCAATTCGCTGAAATTTTGAATACAAAGATGTATATAGTTTTTTTGTTTTGTTTATTATTAAAATAAGATAAAATCTTACTTACTTACAACTTTTGCTGTGTCAATTTGAATAAATAATGTACTTGTGGAATAATTTAGTTTTATTGAAAAATATACAGATCATTCACAATACACAACAGGACAACAAAACTATCAAAAATTGTTTGTATTAAACTACTTAGAACAGAAAAGTGAACTGAAAATGAAAAATACAATGTAAAACAATGAAGTTTTGTTTACACTAATTTCTTAGCCTCGAAGAAACTCTTGAGATGTCTCATCTGCCAGTAGCCAATGCCAACGAGCACACCGGTCTGAAGTAAACTCCACCAGAGGACTCTCTGGTTTGTGCTTTCTGAAGTTTGTCTGAAACGTTCTTCACGATGCTGCAATTAAAAAAAAAACATTTTTAGAACAGGATTATTTTTAAATATTACTAATTCTGGACAGTAACAAATGCAATGGAAAGTAGCTTTTAATATAACTGCATATTCATAAGCTAGCTTAAATCTAAATCTGGTTATTGTTTTAAAAATATTTTTTTTTTATTCTATAATTTAAGGAGGGTTTCTTCTGAAAGAAGATGACACCCTCATAGAACTCACACATGATTAACAACTATGATAAAAAATTATATTCAAGCCATATGGTATTTAAGAATTTTACCAAATATTATGTAAACTGGGTGTCCTGTACCATTGTAATAAGATTTAGATTTAGAGTCAATGGAAAAAAAATATTCTTACCCTTTGGTAGCTCTGCTCCTTAGTGATCTGGTGCACCTGGTCCAGAAGCTGACGTATCCTCAGCTGCAGCTCCGTCAGCTTGTCCTTTTGTGCCACATTGGCATAGTCCACCGCGTGCTCACCGACTTGGATGTCCAAGTGGACCTGGATATTGTTTAACAAGTAATTAGTAAACATGAAAGATGTCTTCATTCAGCATTTTAGTAATATTCCTTTTATAGCTTGCATTTTCTTTTATTACTTTTAGTGTCATTTTACATAAATCAAGATTTTTTTTTTTGCATTTACTGGATCAGCAAGGCAACTGACACCATTAAAGATTGTTGTACAAATAATAACTTGTAAATATTTGTTCTGTACAGTTCCAAATCATATTGAGAATTGTTAAAATTGAACTTTGTTGACACAAGTGTTTAATAACAGCAATATCATGATGTCACAATAATTTTATGTGACTTTTTGTGCAAGTAATAATATATGAAGGAAAATTCACTAATTCTCGACTGGACTACAATAGTAGACAGAAAGAACTCACTCTCAACTGTGATCCACTGAACCAAGACGTGCTATTGGAGTACATGCAGATGACGTGCTCTCCCGGGACATTTGATGTGAAAGAGATCATGCCTTCTGACGAGTACACGCGCGACAGCACCACCCGGTCGTTGCTGTCCCTCACTTCCACGTGCATGCCGATGCCAGGAGTCGACGGCATAAACCCGCCCGACCGGGGGTCGTACAACTCCACCTTGTAGTTTACTGAAAACGTTACCATACCATTAAAACCACTGCTTTTATTAACATCCTAACTGTACACTTTCTAATAAGATAAAACGAACTCAAAAGCCTCACCTATTACTGAAGTGTCATCGGGTATTTCTTCAATGAAACATTTCCTTTCCCCTTCAGCTATGTGGAAATACAAAGCCGAAGTCAAGTCCAACAATAGGAACAATGATAAAACTGATGAAATCCTAAATAATTCCATATTTTTGTGGATATTGTATTCGGCGAAAACCAAAATCACAATCGACAGAAAATTGACATTACACACGTCACCTCAACACAAATGTCAAAAGATTGTTCCGTTGCAAGCATGTATCGGTTGCTGAACGATTCCTTGGCATTTATTTTCGTATAGATTGCAGAATGCTAGAGTCCGAAACTAGCCTCTCTTGATTTTTAAGTAATTAAAAAAAAAATTTGACATAAGAGCGATTGTTGTTGATGACGTACCTATCGAAATAAAATATTCCTAAAATATTTTGTGCCTCACAATTAACGAAAACTACGCATAATGATAATAAAACCTACTATATTTGTGTAACCTACAGTGATATTTGTAATTAACTTAACCATTAGGTAATTTCAGTGATCTATCGCAGAAAATCTGTTACAACAATGGATCCATTTATTGTTGCTGCAATTATTAGTGCTATAGTCATATTAGTGCTCTCTGTTGCATTTTTAAAAGTATGCCAAGTGAAACCACAAGGTAAGATTTATTAATTGATCACAAGAAATTGTATTCCACCTCTGAATCATACAATAAAACAGCCCTATGAAATACGTCTATTCCGACCTTTCATCCCTCTTATAAGCCCTAAAATCCCCGTAAGATCTCTGTGTAAAAGTTTAATTGAAGATACAAGTACATTTCTAAGCAATAGAGGTTATTTGAAAAAAAAATCCAGGACGTATTCCTATTAGAATATCAACTGCAAGAACATAATGAAGGTAATATTATTTAAATGCTTATATTTTCCGTTTGCAGCTGGAGCCAGACCAAGAGCAGCTGCAGTGCAGAGAGATGGCGGCCCTGGCAGAGTGCAGGCAGTCAGAAACCAGAGGGCCAGGATGAGAGCTAATGGTATAATAACTACTATTTTTTCTGTTTACTCTGAAGGTTAACATGCAGATAAGATTTATATGGCATTACAAAAAAGATAAGGAAATAAAATTCACCTAACAATATTGCTAATCTATTTAAACAATAATTTGAATAGATTAGAGATTTTTTATTACATAATAGATTTTTTTAACAAATGAAGAAGTAGCTAGCAGAGCTGGATGAAAAAAGAAAGATCATACATTATTGGCATAGCACTAAGGCTACGTCAAATTCTTTGTTTCAAGATCTTGTATACTTTCATAATAAAACAGACCTAATCATTTAATTTTCACAGCTGCTCGTCACCAAGTTGACCTGGCCGATGAACCGGAAGCGGAGGAAGAAGCGGATGACGGAAACATGCCGGAGACTTCCGGCAAAGTTGAATTTGATGACAAAATGGGTGCCAAGGTAATATAATTAAGTTACTTTTTTATTTGTTTTGTCTACAATGGGGAAGCTCTTAGCCTCTCACCAGATGGAAAATGATAATCAGTCTTAAGGCAGCAGGGACCTTCTTCTGGAATCCTCATCCACAGAGGAACTGGCTATCTTACCTCCCATCTGCCTCCAAAACTCTATTTTTGACTTAACTTTTATGTTTGGTATTATTTAGTAGATTTAGATAGACATTTCAACATTTTATCATTCCTATTTTGGCCAATAAGAATGATCAGCAATTCCAACTGGTTTTTATCTTCTATAATAAAATTTTACTATCAATTTACTAACTTTGTTAGGGTACCTAGAAACTATAAATAACATTTTGTAGTGTTTCAATTTTTTTCTAATGTCTGATAAAATTATCTTTTCAGAAACGAGCTAAGATGGAAGCTAAGCTAGAGAAGAAGAAGGCAAGAGAAGCTGAAGAGCAAATGAGAGAGATGAAAAAGAAAAGAGACGAAGAGATTGAGGAAGAGAGACGGAAAGTAGAGGAGAAAAAGGAGGTTAGTCATCAAATCCTTAGACTGAGTTGCACCACCTTACTTTAACCTATACTATCTATAACAATAACCAGTGTTTGTTAAAGTATGATGGTACAACCCAGCCAAGTTAGCAGTACAAAGTTTTCTATTTTGATTGCTTACAAAGTAAAAAATATATTTTATTACTGCCAGAAAATCAGCTACATACCCACAGCTGAAAAAGTGATGGGAATACTGTTTGGTATCATAATTTTGATGCCCTTGCTGAGACCCTTACCCAGACCCTTGCCCTTGCTGATACCCTTGCCTGACTGAGATTCTTTGCCAATAAAAATACAAAACCTACCTCAGATCCGTACTCTTGCCGAAATCCACATCACAGGAAAAAGGCACTAACAATCTACAGAAAAGAAAAAAAAACCTACCAAAAATGCATCATCATCATCAACAGCCCTTTACAGTCCACTGCAGCTGGACTATGAGCCTCCTCCACTATAGTGGAGGCTTTTGCCACAATCTCCACGCTTGGCAGGCGGGTTGAAGATCTCACTTTAAGTCGCCTCTTACGACACCCGCGGGAAGAGTAAGGGTTGGTGTCAAATGAATTCTACTTTACCAAAAATTACTGAAATGTAATATGCCATTGTTTTTATAGGAAGAGGAACGCCAACGTGAGGAGGCTGAAAGGAAAGCAGAGGAGGAACGTAAGAGGCGCGAGCAAGAGGAATACGAGGCTATGAAGGCCGCCTTCAGCGTCGACAGCGAGGGCTTCGAAGAAAATGAGGAGCAGGACCGCGAGAGTCTGCTGCGAGACTTCATCGAATACATCAAAGTAAACTCAACCTTAACACTATTGTCAAATAAACCAATTTGGATTATATCTTCAGAAATAGACTGGCTACGCATAAAACCAAGATACTGTTATGAAATTTCGTTGTCTCAGCATAAGCCCGGCTAGCTCAGTCGGTAGAGCATGAGACTCTTAATCTCAGGGTCGTGGGTTCGAGCCCCACGTTGGGCGCAAATATTTTTGCATTTTATTTTCTTGCATAATTTTAAGTTATTGTGAGTGAATAATATTCCATGTTTAATTTGTTGTTTTTTTTTATTCCAGGCACAAAAAGTCGTGCTGCTAGAAGATTTGGCTGCACACTTCAAACTGAAGACACAAGCAGCCATTGACAGAATTACAGACCTCCAATCATCTGGGGATCTTACTGGTGTTATCGACGACAGAGGGAAATTCATTTACATATCGCAAAAGGAACTGGAAGACGTAGCGAAATTCATTAAACAAAGGGGGCGCGTATCAATAACAGATTTAGCCGAGAGTAGCAATGAATTAATTAATCTAAACCCAGTTACAGTGTCATAGATTTTGCAAAGAAAAATATTTGTTAATTTTATGTGTTGATACTTAAAATTTTAGGAGATTCAATATGTAAAATAAAATGAACACATTGTTATACAAAATGTTTTATTTTATTGAAAAAAAAAATTAACAAATTATTCATCATTAATTTCGTAACCAAACATATCTTTTCCTTTCTCTAATAACAAAAGAGATGATTCCTTGATCCTATCCAAAACTTCAACAAGTTTAGCCTTTGTGAACATCTTGTACAATCCTCTATTTTCACCCGATATGAGGTTGCACAGTTTCAATGCTTCTTTGTGGCTATCAATATCTTCTCCACTTTGTAATATTTTCAGGATTAAAATTACAACCTCAGGTATACACAGACGTCTCAGCGTCTCCAGTTGCTTCAGTCTCTCTTGTTTTTCATCTTCATCAAAGTTGTCAGAGGAGACACTGTCATTCTCATCTTGAAGCCAGCCACTAGGGAATAATAACACGTTGTACAACAAATTCTTCGTGTGCCGCGATTGGTGGAGCACAGCATTCAACCAGCGCGCTTTCTGTTGCTCAACTTGGGCGCATCTCTGCTCATGGTGAACTTTGTCAGAGAACGTTGCATCTTGAGGCAGTGGTTCCACATCTTTTGGCTGTCCACTTATGAAATGTCTGTACCAAGTGGCAAATCCTTCAATAGCTTCCAGGTAAGCCTTCAGACATAGGTGCTCTCTCAGTTCAGAGCAGTTGGTGGGTACTTTGTTCAAAAAATCAGGAAACATTTTATTCACATTAACAACACAAGCTAATGCAGCATCAGTATTTCCTATAAATATGAATGTACGTATCATGGCATTACTCAACCATAAAGTTTCTTGCAACTGGTTGGTAATGAGGGACAACCATTCCAGGGACGAAATAACTTTAGTGATCAATGTTTTGTCTTTTTCAACCGAAGATGTCTGAGTAAAGGTTAAATCTAAGTTGCCATAGCCTTGTTGAATATCAGTGATAGCCTTTTTTATAGCAACCCTTGCAGAAGCTGCAACATCAATGCCTGCATCATCACCTGCCTTCACGACTCCCTGCCTGTACTCACTTTTGTGAATATGATCCATCAATTCAGCATATAATTCAATTTGACGCTCTATTGGCACAGTAGATGTATAATAAGCAATCAGTTCAGGGCATTCTGAGGACCCATCTATTAGCTTAGCTATAAGCTGGGTAACATATTTCTCCAATATCTTGTCCCCTACATCATGTTGAGGGTCCTTGCCCATTTGTCTCAAAATTAATATGAGATGGGCCAAAAATCGTATGAACCTTTCTTCAGCAGTGTCAATCCATTGTAAAGAGTCTTGCATAATGGCTCTAATGTTTCCAAGCATTAAGTGACGTTGACATGTTTGATAGTTTGATTCCTTTTTGCCATCCATCAATGACTTTACAGCACCAAATACTTGTTGGAGAGATTGTTCTTCAATTTGAAGTTCATTTTGCAACAATTCCAAAACATCCATGGGAGTAGTGTTAGCATCAGCAGTTAAATGATGTTCATGTAAAAACTTGTCAACCCTGGCTTCTATTTGTACCCTCAAATGTGCCCAAAGTAGATCTTCCCAGTTTCCTTGGCACGCTTGTATAGCACTAGCCAAATGGCCACACAGTATGCCTACAGCAGCCTTGTAGTGAATGTTTTCAGATACGCTATTAGCAATTCCAAGAGAACACCATTTCCATAAATCTCGAGAAGGATTCCCAGATATTTCAAGGGGAGCGTTTTCATCTTCTCTCGGTAGATAATGAAGCAATATCCATCCCTGTAGGACCGCCCCGCGCCATGCCTGTCCAGCACTGATACACAAGGAGACTGCTTCTTTAAATTTTCCACATCTCACTTCAGTAAATATTCTTTTGCATAAATCATTATCATCTTTGAGATCATCTGAATGTATTGACTTATTTTGACGCCTAGGTGCATCTGGGTCCATACAAGTTATCATAGCCTTATTTTTTTCTTTATTGAATAAACTTGACCCAATCAACAATTGATGTAGTGTATTACTCCAATGTATGTTGTTTCCGATCACTGGTGCCGAAGTCTTAGTGGCTTCTTCTTGGTAAGCAGCAGTAGCTTCCAACCAATCAACCAATAATTGTAACAGTCGCAACTCTGAATCAGACTGAAACAATGCACCAACCAATTCCTGTTGTGATAAAGTTGGTTCTTTTATCAAGTCGTCCAAAGATTCTGGGTGTTCAGTTATAGAATCAGAATACAAACAGTAAAGCAGCTTCCAGGTATTGGCTTCTTCAGCCAGCCAGTAGTTGTGAGCATTGTACCGATTCCATGGTTCCACCAATTCCAGTGAATCGCAACAAACTTGACTTAACCTCGCTAATGTATCAAGTACATCGTTTGAACGACTTATTAGTATTATCTCAAAAAAAGCCTCGCTCAAACCATCACCAGCGCTTCCTGTGTTAACTAACACTGAAGATTCATCCAAAACTTGCCTCAAGCTCGTATCATTCAGAGTTTTAAAAATTGAGGTTTCATTTAGTATCGGCGACAAATTCAAAGTGTCTTCTCTGTGTAACAAATGCTTACTTCGCTTGTTTCTAATCGGGGTATGTTGTGAGGAATGTAACAGGAGACTTTTATCGAAATTCATTATGTAGTCACTAGTTTTAATCGAATTTAATAAACTAATGTAATTTTTGCGCCCAGCACAAGCTTTAGCCGGAAACAAACATTTGTCAACTGCCAGACAATGTCAATGTGACATTTGCTAGATACAGATTATATCACACATTCAAATACTAAATATCACTTCTTTAATAATCATGATGAAACTATTAACATTTTGAAGAATATTTCATTTCAGAGTAGTTAGAAAGAATTAAAACATATGAAATAGTAGTATTAACAATGAATATGAGTATTAATGGTACTCTAATAATACGATGAAAGCATAATCTTGGCTGCGATAAAAGTATAGTTTATGATATTTGAACGATGCCTACCGGAAGTATGAACATAATTAAGTACTTTTACTCTAAGATTTAACAAATTAGTAATCATATACATTGCTATTGAACGTAAGTGCGGTAAATTATTATAAATTAAATTTTAATAAAACAATTCTCATGAAAAAACTCGATTTGTATTATAAGATATTTATAACTTTTCAACCTGTCTTTCTTTCAGCATCAACCACCGAACTAAACCATCAACCAACATTCACTGTTGAACTCTTCTGCGCTGTGGCTGGTAAGGAAAATTAGGAACAAATTGTGTTTATCATACATAAATCTATACTTACATAAAATAATAAAAGCATACATTACAAATTGCTTATTTTAGTTTCTAAATTATAATGAAATAAGTTGCTTTTAAAACTTTGGATCTAAAAATATATCCTTGAAAGGTTTGCTAATTTCTAAAAAAAATATTTTCGTATGAATCCTAAGTTCTATGTTGAAATAAGAATTGCTATGTTGTAGTAGGTAATATTATTATTCAAGTAGTTTAAAAAGTAAGTACCTACCTAACACTAAAATTTAGGTAAATAAATGTTTATCATAGTTACTGCAAAGTAACCATTAGAAACTGAATTCACCCATAACTTATTGTAAAACTGTTTTGTTTTAGGCATGAATCGCTTATTATTTTGATTGCTTTGAATATTTCTTTACATTTTATCCATAAATCCATCTGAAGATTTGGAGCATCAGCTGTTTTTTTATTAGAACTAATTGCTAAACTAAAAGGGACATAACTAAAAATATTTTATATAATGTAGTTGAGAGATAATAGGACTAAAGTGCTTGAGACATTGTTAAAAGTTTTTTTTTCAATGATTGTCAAGGTTAAGGAATTACCTAACAATCATCAAAATCTTAATACTATTGGAAGAAGCCTAGGTAAGCAAGCTAGCAAGTAGGTATTTACTTTGTGTAAACCATTTATTCAGTAATTTGTACTTACATATTCTAGCTCTAATGAAATCAGAGCTTAACTACTTTTTATTTCTTATTATAAGGTGGGTATTTATTAATCATAATAATAATACCTATAGCAAGAAAATTTTATCTTTTTAATGAATTATTACTTTTTTTCAATGTGTTTTTTTGTAAGTAAATATTAAAATATCAATCTCTCAGACCCACCTACTATAAACACCTATTCTGAATATTGTTGTCCTATTTATTATGTTATTCATTCTAATGAGCTTTTTTTGAAGACTTGGGATTTTCTTTAGTTCTTGCCTGTGAGTATAAATAATGTAGATGGGTAGGTAAGTAATAAGGCAGAACCACAAAAAAAAACAGATAAGCATCAATAAATAAACTAATGCATTTTTTTAAACCTATAATAATGAAAATATTTTTAGTTTTGAACTTATTGTCATTTTTGAGTGACAAAATAATTTGCAACTTTTGCTGTCAAGATACAACTGTCAGTCAATTTGGTTTGGGATATCTAGGTAGCAAACAGATGATTGTGATTTAAAATTACTATTCTCCTTTAATCTTGATATAATGTTGTATATTTTGGTGTTGCAGAAATGAGGAGCAATTCAAGATGTGGGGAAGCCACAATATTCAAAGAAAAGTGTATTTTGTATGTGCATCATACAACATGGGAAAATTTAAAGGTGAGAAGTTTGGATAATGTTGTAATTAGTATTTACAGGTAAAATTCATATTTTAATTCATTATTGAGACATAAACTTCAGTAGCTAGGTGCTTACATAAATTTTTTTGTTCTTTATTGTTGGATTTATGTGTTGGTAATTAAGTAAGTACAAAACTTGAAATAATTAATTTCATTAATATTTTAAAGCAAAAAATGCACCTACACAAGAAATAGCTATGTTTATATTAATTCGGTGTGACGTTAGACGTGACACAAATTAAATAATTGAACTGATACCGCTCATTTTTTATTAGAACAACATTTTTACTTTTAGTTATTGCTTCAGTCTTTTTAGTAAATTGTATTGGCTAAATAATTTTGGAATTTTTGAAGTAAAAATAATAGATACTTCTCTACTTATTTGTTACAAAATATTCGAACAAAATTAGTCATTGGATTTTTTAAAACGCCACAATTAACCTTAACAAATATTGATCTTATAAGTTTATAAGCGAATACTTAGACATTAATAGAATTATCTTTCCATACTAACTGCTAATACGGCTGTACATAAATTGTTACATTTATTAATAAAATATACCTATATTGGTCGGTCTAACCCAATTATTACAAATGATTTTACATAAGTAACTATTTACAAGTCGATCTAGTAATGATTTTGTCTTAAAATCTACTATTCTTTTAATTAATTTTGTATGATGATAACCTATCTGCAAATATATTAGGAAAATGTTGATAGGTTTAGCAGCAGCCTTATAAAGCAACAAACTAACCACCTAAATTAATTTTCTTTCTTTGAACATTTTGAAGAAAACAGAAGCATATTTGGTTTCATAAATTAAAATATTTTGTGACTAGCACTAGGTAATTAGCTATGTGCTGTCTTGCTAAAATAAATTTCAGCGATTCAGAAAACTAGCGGAATTTATGCATCAGTATATCAGTATGCATTTTTAGGCCCAATTTTTTCTATTTTGTCATGGTAGGTCTAAATAGATAGGCAGATAGATTTTAAATGAATGCCGTCTATCGCAGTGTAGGTTACGGATTAGGTACCGATAATTAAAATGGTTAAGTTAAAACTAATGCATAAAATCGACTGTGCATCGAACTTGTTTACGCGATCATTAAAATTAAAATAGGTAAATTCTTTTAGAAACCTATCTTGTGGCCAAAATTCTCTAAGCATTTTTTTAAGCTGTGCTTTGTCTAAGTACAGCTGTCAAACAGTACAGTAACGCGTTGTTTTGCTACGTAGAACGGAACGCAGAATGTTGATAACTTTGCTTTGTATTTTATATCACTACCTTGCGCTGCGATTGTTTTTGATAAAAGGTTAATTAATTTTATTGAAAGTTATATAAATTGCTTAGTAAATTAATTTTAAGTTAACATACTTGTCTATGATAGTGATATAAACCTACATAACCTATAAAGTACATACTTCATTATCTTACCTATGGCTATACCGGAAGTTTTGAACTTTTTATGTACTTTTATTTTTCATATGTTGTGAAAAACTGGGTTACGTTTAGAAAATATTAAAACATAATTTTCAATTTATTTGTTTAATCGTGAAAGTGGCAATTTTTTTATATTGGAAACTTATTGGAATAATTACTTACTTAGTCGTTTCACTACTTTTTTCAATAATTTATTTGTTCTACTCGTAAATGAAGTATTACTGATAAAAGGAAAGGTTTTTATTAATAGTTGATAGTATCCTAATTCAGAAATCTATTGTAAATGCTACCGAATAAACCAGTTAAATATTTGAGTATCTTTTCGACTTTACCGCGCAAGTACCACCTAGTTCAAGGACAGCGTAATCTTTCTCTTTCATTTTTACTATGTTTTGCTGAGACAGCGATATAATTACTGTGTCTCTATGGCGTTTCGTCAGTTCAGTTTGTGTCGCGGAATACGAGCGTTTACTTACTACCTACTCCAGTCAAATAATGTTTTTGGCTATATTCCGCCATTAACCTGATACGATGCTTTGTTTAAATTATGAACAGTGATGTTGTGAACATTTGAACCCTGTAGAAAAAACAGTGTCATTCCAATAGTGAGCAAATAAGTGTCTTCGAAGTGTATCATTTCCTGTTTCTATCGTACAGAAACAAGCAACTGCGACCGCTAGCGTACTCTTTTCGTTATCACGTGGGTCAAATTTCGAATTAGTATGTGCCTAAATAGAATAAATTTCTCACATTGGTAAACAAATTGTGTTGAGTGATGAAAATGTGTTGTGTGGATAGACAAAGACCGGACTGTAATCCGTCATAAACGTTGTTTTTCAGAAGCGCGCCGAACTGCAGTCGGGCCGTCTGTGTTGGCTCGTTATGGAGCCGGCGGGAGACTGATTATTCGGAGAATGTGCTCTTTGGATTGCGGTTTAGTGCAGTGCATAATAGTGTCAGTGTTGTGAACGGTTTAAAATCGTTGAGTGTTACATAAGGGTGGGATGTGCTTACTAAAGAGCCCGCCCTGACCCGTCGGGCGCCGGCGTCCGCGGCGGGCGACGCGCGTGTCATGGCTCCTGCGCTCTCAGTCACACCTGGAGAGGCCCACACGTTCGACGCCGCCGAGGAAACTGATAAGCCCATCACGCACCGTAGACGGGCGCTCGCGTCCGTCGATAACCTCGCGATACCCATGGAGGAGGACGATATGGGGCTCCAAAACCAGCCTAGTCTTGCCAAAGATTCACAAGAGATGGAACAGATTCTTGTCGATTTGGGCAGCAGTGATCTTGCTCAAGTTGACTTACTTCAAGCTATCAAAACATTTGATAGTGGAGGAGATGGTTTATCAACAGGTGATGCGGATGCCATATTTCCACTAAGTGGCTTTGACTTGACCGAAACAACAGAATCTGAGAGTGATGCTGCAGAAGATCGCGTAAGAACCATGCAAGTACGCTTAGAACGTCGTTGTGCTTTCCTACAAAGAAGGTTAAGAATACTTCAAGCCAAGACTATAGGAAAAAGAGTCTCTGAGGAAGCCGCTCAAAGCTTTGACAAGTGCATCAAAGGTGCTCGCAAGGAGGCAGTGGGCAGACCGGTGGGGTTCAAAGCCTTTTTGAAAAGAATAGAGACAATGTCTACATTGCAAGCGAGTGCATCCTCGCGGTCGGTGATTGGCCCTAAGTATTACCGTACAGGGAATTCAAAAGTTGATGCATCAAAATCGAATAGTGTGGGTATAGCTTCGGGGACCCTGGCTGGTCTGGAGGACACGGCTGGGGCGCTGCGGTCGCACCTCTCTGTGGTGAGGCACGAGCTGGACTCTGATGCCACGGCCTCGTCATCTGGAGCAGAGAGCAATGATGAGGCTGTCACATACAACAATCCTCACCAACAGCAAATGCCTATGTAAGTTGTTTCACTTTCATATCTTATCAGAGGTTACTGCCCTCTAAACCAAAATCAGGGAAATAGGAGGACTCACTAATGATGTGATTGTTGTGAATTAGTTTTAGAGTTATTAAACTTTGATGAAATGCTAGATAAAAAAACCAACAATGAGTTAGTTTCAATGCTGTTGTTAACTATTGCATCATTCACTGCTGTTGCCATAACTGCTGTAGTGATATGCAAAAGTCCAATTAGGCTTGGCCCATTCAATTGAAGAATCAGATTATCATTTTATTTAGGTAGTTTTATTGTGTAGTGTTTAACTGCATTAATAGTAATATAAGGGCATGCCAAATGTTAGGTTAGCTTTTTGGTTTGTTAAAGTTGTTTAGGAATTTGTTTACAAAACAAACTTATTTCCTTAAATTAGGTATTGAAAACCATTATTTACAAGAACATCCTAATAAGGATCTAATTAGCTATTACACCTTTTGTAAATGTAAACATTGAGGCTACAAATACTTGTAAGTGAAGCTTTCAGGGCTAGTTATCCAGCTTATCATTTAACTTAAATTGAATGAAATCTAAACACCTAAATCTCTATTAAATTCCACTAAAGTGACCAATTGTGTATCATGATCAATGACTATAAAAAAGGAATGGTTTGTGGCCAAAGCTGTTAACATTCCATATTTACATAGGATTAGCTTTGTGGATATAAGATTATAAATATTTGGCAATAATAATATTTATCAGGCCTATTGAATGTTACACAAAAATGCATAGGCTTCTAAGAGATAAGATAAGAAACCAGTCCCATAGCTTTCTATGCCAGATTTCTTCAAAGTTATGTTCTGCCATGCCATTATTTAAAGACTTATATCACTTGGCTACACTATGCTGTGTGAAATCTAATTCCCTTTGCTGTGATTTTTCCCTATCATTTTTTAAATAAATATTAACATTTAGTTAGGTGAAAGTATATTTTATGTAGATTTTCTCCTAGTGCTTATTGGATTTCATTGTAATTGTTATTTTATGTGATGATTAAATAATACAAATACATATAAATACTGGCATTGCCATCTATGTGATAAAAATAATAAAATTTTTCAATTCAAAGTTTTCCTCATATTAAATGCAATACTTGTCATTACAATCTAGTGTACTTGATGTTAGATAGTTTGTAGGCAGACTTGAAAAGGTTAGCTGTAATATCCTTGAATGGGCAGAATTACATTCTAATATCACCTGTAATTCAAGGCTATTTATAATCTAAATCAACAATATTAGTATTATTATGTATGAAAATTCTTATGGCACAATGATTTCCCACATTTATTTTAATATGCTGTGATAACTCTCTTACAACAAAATGCTTCAAATACACAGCATAGGTTTATGTTCAGTCAGACTCATCTATGTAAGATAGAATAAAGAGAAGGGGAAGGGTATATTTTATACTAGCTTTCCGCCCGCGGCTTCGCCCGCGTGGAATTTTGTCTGTCACAGAAAAACTTTATCGCGCGCGTCCTTGTTTCAAAAACCGGAATAAAAACTATCCTATGTTCTTTCCCGGGACTCAAACTATCTCTATGCCAAATTTCATCAAAATCGGTTGCGAGGTTTAAGCGGGAAAGCGTAACAGACAGACAGACAGAGTTACTTTCGCATTTATAATATTAGTTGGGATTTGATTCAAACTAGAGAGATAAAAAATTGTTCTGATTCTGATACTAGGTAGTACTAGGTAGGCTTTTTTATGTAGTAATTAAGTTTATTTCAACCAAATTAAGTCTCACTTTTGGACAAAGGCCTCCCCCAAGGATTTCCATAACGACCGGTCCTGCGCTGCCCGCATCCAGGCTCTTCACGTGACCTTCACCAGATCGTCGGTCCACCTAGAGCAGTGGTTCTTAACCTTTGAGTCATGAGGGACCATTTTACCAAATTTCTGTCTTGTCAGGGACCACCTCATAATCAGTCAAAACCAGTTTGACTGCAAATATCAGTGGTTTTGACCAAGGTGTGCAAGTGCACTTCGTGGACCACTTGGAATGCCTCCAGGGACCACCAGTGGTCCGCGGACCACCGGTTAAGAACCACTGACCTAGAGGGAGGCCTGCACAATTCAGTTCAACTGTATTAAATCCAAATCAAATGTATTTTCTTGACTCTTCAATAAAACAGATATTTTATGTACTTCTAAAATCGGTCATCATCGCCAGTACCAGAGTAAATACAAATGAGTAGGTCATCTTCATAGAAACGCACGGGCGCGGTTTGTATGTGAGCGCGCCAACACGTATGCGGCGCACACGCACACACTGACAAAATTTAGCGGGGAGCCAGTCGTGGTTGCGCCGAATTTTGACAGTGTGTGCGTGCGCGCCGCATACGTATATTGACGCGCTCACATACAAACCGCGCTCGGTGCGTTTCTATGAAGATGACCTACTCATTTGTATTTACTCTGCCAGTACACTGGATGTAAAACTCTGACGTCATTGCAGAGAGAAACGCGCGCTCTGGTCGTATCAGAAGTCGCGGTCGTCGGTGGCGTCCCGCTGGTGCTGGCTGCAGGCCCAGATACAGGAGCTGGAATACAAGATACGCCAGCACACCGAACTGCACAAACAGGTGCGTGGTTGTACTAGATCAGGGTTTCTCAAACTTTCGGCTTCACGAAACCCTGTTCAAGTTTCCGGGGGACAGTGTACCCCTTCTTCTTCTTCTTATCGTATAGTTTTAAGTCCCTTTTTTCTTTTTTTTTATTCTCTTTTTTATCGTGTTGACAACAAACCTACACAATGTCAGCCCAAAACTCCGCTACAAGAGTGGCGTTGTCAGCAGCATTAATTAAATCCTCCTGCGTGCAGTTGCTCGCGGGCACTCACGACATCATGTGCTTTATATCGACATATTTATTACATCGACATGTTTATACCTCTAAACTAGCTATTTAAGTCCCCCCAGGGGCGTGCCTGTTTCTTGTCGCAAATGGAGTCAATTATACGAGTAATTTTGGACAATATTTCAACCTTAATTCTGCCACCATTGCGTAAATTTTGAACCCCTGGCGTCGAATGGCGATACCTTAGGGGTTCGCGTACCCCACTTTGAGAAACCCTGTAGTAGACTGTAGGAATAGGACTAGGGACTATTATAAAACATGTGTCATCAATCATCATACACCAACGTCCGTAAAAGGCGGCCTCGCGCTGGTGGCGGGGTTACTCCGAAAAACATCAACCGAAATTTCGAATGTTGCTTGCTATCCCTCTCACACAAAGCGAGATGCCAGTGCGAGCGACAGTGACAGATATACCCGAAACTACGTAAACGGAATTTCGGAGTAGCCCCCCTGGCTGCGAGCGAGATCCAGGAGTTAGAGTACAAGATCCGATAGCACCGAACTGCACAAACAGGTGCGTGGTTACTTTAGGCTGTAGCCACAGTCATAGACACAAGTGTAGGCGCGTGGGACAACAGTGCCACATGTTTTGTAACAACAAAGCATGTGTCATACACTAACGTCCGTATAAAGGCAGCTTCGCTCCTCGATAGAGACAAGCGATCGAGACAGAGACCGCGACCGTTAGGCCGGGTTTCCACCAAGGCGGAATGGAGCGGAGAAGTGTTTTGAATAACAAATCAGATTCTTCTCGGCTCCACCTTGGTGGAAACCGGGCCTTACTTGACTTTAGGCAATTTTAAGCGAGCGAGACAGTCAGGAGACGAGAGACCTAACCAATCTCTTGTCTCGGTCGTTTATCTATAAGACGGAACTAATCGCCGACTGAAAACAAATGCCATAGATTATGTGATGGATTAAAGTTGATCCAACCAGTCAAAAGCTTCAATCTATTATTGAGATTGTAGCTTTACAAAAATATCCGCGCTAATAGACTGTCAATTTCAATCACTCGTATTTCGTAACTTGACTGAAACAGTAAACTGTCTCAGAGATCCCAAGATTATTCCACATTGCAATCAAAGATATGTTTACTCAAATTACGGTTTCAATGTTAGTCGGCCTTATTGGTCGCAAGATTGCGAAAGTCTATTAGCACGATAACTTCGATAACATGGGTATTTCGTACCCATCTGGCAAACAAACTACAAACACGTGTAAAAAAAGAGCTTCTGAAAAAACCGACCGACGAAGCACGGTCAACTTTCCATCAGGTCACTGTTCAGTATTTCAAACTGCCAGTTTTCAGTATTTTCATTTTATCTACATATTTTTCACCTAGGAATTGAATCGAATCGAACCGAAGGAGGAACGTGTACAATCTCTAATATAGCGAAAGGTCAGCGCCATTGTGCTGGTTAGCAAAGAACGCAATAAATGTGTTTTTAACAAAGTATTATTATATTTCATGCGTTATTTAGAGAGTAGAGTAATATTATTTTGATAGAACATGTATGAGCTACCTTAGTAGCCTGAATACCCATAAGAACTGGTTTTTTAACTTATAATAAGAGAAAGTGTCAAAAAAGTTCCCATTTCGATGGGATCGCCCACAACATGGCATATACGCATTCTATGCTCTCGCCGTGTAGTAGTTAAGTGTACTTATTAAATTGCAGCTAAAGTACATTTAAAACGTGAATAGTATAAAAACATTTTCATAATATGAAATGTTTTGAAAAACGTAACTTTCTCTAATATTGCTGTTAGTTGTTACATGTAACAGATGCTAATTTTCATTCTAAGTTTCTATGTATTAACGATATCAGCGTTTAATTCAACTTTGTCTTTCCTTTTTTCTCTTATTCAAAGAACCGGTTCTTATGTGTTTTCAGGCAAATAAAGCTTGTTGAGACATGTTCTATGGGTATCAAGGTCAGGAGGGTTCGTCTTATTGCACAATGTTTCATCATCTCAAACTCAACATATTCAGTTGGGTTCGAGATTTATTGATGCGGGACTACTTGTAGTTGGAAATATATTCTGTTTTGTCTATATTTTCAGTTCGTGATTCAAAAAATTGGTTATATTGCAGGAATATTGCGTGATCTGTAAAAAATGCATTCGATCGCCGTCAGGCGGCAGACGACGGAGAATAGCTTTTATTAGTCGATCTTTTTTGAAATATCATAAATAGTCCACTGAAAAATATCATTTATGTATTCAGTTTATAAATCATGACAATCCATTCTTACAAAATCGTTTGTCTTGACCGATTGACTGATGTAAAACGCACGCGTTTAATGCAACCGAGTCTAGAAAGCTGAAATTCGGTACATTGTTTTGTTTTATAAAATCCTCCTTGTGAGGATACACATCCATAATGTAGCTCCTTTGGTCCAATTTTTATGCAGGTTAGTATGACTTAACAAAAATCAATATTCAGAATGTATTTCGAGTTCTTGACTGGACTAAAATCCAAATTTCTATTTTGATTTGCATCGTTTCGTTATACGGGTATATCAAATCAAAATCTTACGTAATGTTATGTAACGTCTCATTAAATTGCCTTCATAGAAGAAAGCTTACAAAATTCATCTGCGTAATAAATGCGCACATCAGAGATTACAGTTCAGTCGGAACATTGGTTAGTTGTGTTATCAGTTAACCTTATTACCTTGTTAAAGGTTTAACCAAAAGCTATTACGGGATCACGCCTTTCCCAATGAGGGCTATCGTTTTTATACTTAACAGTTGGCACCCCTGGCGATTGACAGGACCTTACTCTACAGTGGCGCCATCTGGATGAGTGCAAATGCGATAGTCCTCCTACCACTTTAGCGCTCACCAGTTGGTGCCACTGTCTTCGCTACTAGCAAGTGACAGGACCTTACTCTACAGTGGCGCTAACTGGTGAGCGCTAAAACGATAGCCCTCATTAATCAGATTCAATTTCCGTGAGATCGGAGCTGGCGGGGGGTTGCTTTATCCAATCATCGTCGTCGACAGTTGCAAATTGCATTGCACATGTCGCATAAGCGCGTCCACTATACGGTTTGAGGTCTGTTTTGATCTAGATTCTAGAAAATATTCCGTGATTTAAGTGGGAATGTTTGTCTCTCTCAATTATGCATGCAGACTGACTACTGAATGGATGTGATAAATATAGTTTCCCTGAATACCACTGAATGTATTATTTTGTTAGCGAAATCACAGAATAATAATAAGTACTGCGAAATGTCTGTTTCTTTTAGATGTTAAACCTTTTAAAAGCTGTATAAATACAGTTTTATAGTCGAGTTGGCTAGCAAAATAGCTGACATTGTATTTTGTCCAATAGGAATCCTATAATGTGTACAGAACTGAGAATCATGCTCCCCCTTTTTACCCTAATGTGCCGTCTAAAGGATTAGTACGGGCTACTCCGAAACACTGTCTATGTATGTAGTTTCGGGCTATCTGCCATCGTTGCACATGCTGGCAACTCGCTTTGCGTGAGAGGAATGGGGCAGCATTCGAAACTTTGGATAACGCATTTCGGAGTAACTCCGCAAAAGGCGAAATTTTTTAGTGTTAAGAAGTTTCTGAGTAATCCCTTACCCCGCACAGGGTGGAAATTTTTGTAATATTTAAGGAGCTGTACACCATGCCATACAGAAACCGCATGGCGGCACATATAATCGCTTTCTGCAGGTCAGCTACCAAACCGCTTACTACCTCAATGTGTTTTTGACTTAGGCTGTGGTCCCCTATAAACGCCGAAGGCCGCCTATAGCGTAGGCTGCGTCACAATATAATGCTTTAGAAATGTACTATTGTGGTCTCTTCCATAAGTGGACTTCGGCATGAACGTCCTAGGCAACGTTCAGACGTGATAGAAATTTTTGACGCTGCGAATAGCGTTTATCCCATTAATCTCCAAGTGTTCGCATATGACCGCGTAACAATGATTCATCTATTGTGTCTCGATTCGCGGGCTTGAAGACCGTAGCCTTAAACGAAACGTCTTTACCACAGGTCCGCGAAGCCAAAGGCGCGGTTCAGTTCGAGGGTGAGCCGGTAGGCTACGAGGGCAGCTTGCCGGGAACATCGGACGACGGCGAGACGTGCGCCCGCGTGCGACCGCTGCGCCGCGACACCTTCAAGAAGCGCAAACTGCTGCAGATGCACAATCTGCACCTCGCCACCAGTAAAGCTGCGAAACCTTCGGACATCAGGTGAGTGGAGGTTTTATGCTATTTTGTAAGAAGAGACATATCAAAGTCACATTTGAAGGACGAAAATCTTTATTCAATTTAGACCATGATTCAAGAACCCATGAACGTCAAAATAAAAGAAAAAAGGGTCTCTACACCTATAATATCTCCTCATAAAGGTAGCAGGAAGGCGCTGGATGCTGGCCGCTATCAACCGGTCTACATGGAAATCATTGAGAGAGGCCTTTTTTTTAAGGGACGCGAGCTGGTAGCTTTAAGAGCTTTTCCAGCTTCAGCGGGCCGAGTGGCGAGTACAGAAGGTATTCTAGACGTTTGGCGATCGTCGGTCGCCGTATCGAGCGCATAAGGCGTCCGATCAGTGGCGAACCCAACTAGAGGGTTGCCCACCGCGGTGTTGGACCAAAGTCCCCCCCCCCCACTCTTGGCTATGAAAAAGAGAAAACCTTTGAAAAAGAGGCTGAAAATAGTGTCTGAATTTCTTGCGCTGCTTCTTCTCAGCACTGGCCCATTTATTGTCCTGAAGCAGTGGTAAGGGTTAATACTGGGACATGTAAAAGTGCTTTTTTAAAGCCTACTTACAGAAATAAATGAGTTTTAAGAGTTTTATGAGTTTTTTATGCTTATCTTTGAAGCACATTGTAACAAACTGTACCAATCTCCAGGTGTTCGTGCGAGTACAAAGTGGAGAGTTGCGGCGTGTGCACGGGCCGCGCCGAGCCGCTGCAGCCCGCGCCGCCCGCCAGCACGCTGCCGCCCGCCGTGCGCGTGGCGCGCGTCGTGCCCGGCTACCATCCCGTGCTCAGCGACGCGCAGGGTAAGTGCTTAGCACCTGGGCAGCACCTGGGCAAACACATCCTAAAGCCCACAAGATGTAAAACATATCGCCCCCCAAAAGATACTGCGTTACCTCGATGCAGGACTCGAAGGCAGTGGCAGTACTAATCTACGCGATCTGTCACCACCTGATGCTTGGCACCCGGGGCGGACCGTATTGTATTCGATTCGATATTAGTAAAGCCTGGTCCGTGAGCACGTAGAATCCCGTCCAATGACCCCAAGCTACCGTCCGATAATCGCGCGAGCGATAATCGCGCGTAATTATGTTGCTGTCGCGACTGTGCGACACGCGCCCGCAGTGAGTGTGCGAGCGCGACAGCAACATAACTACGTGCGAGCGATAAAGACGTGTAGCTTGGGGTCATTGGACGGGATTCTACGTGCTCGCTGAGCCGCTGCAGCCCGCGCCGCCCGCCAGCACGCTGCCGCCCGCCGTGCGCGTGGCGCGCGTCGCGCCCGGCTACCATCCCGTGCTCAGCGACGCGCAGGGTGAGTGTGCTATTAGCATAGTCCGTCCGGCTATCAGCATAGTCCGTCTGCTATCAGCATAGTCCGTCCGGCTATCAGCATAGTCCGTCTGCTATCAGCATAGTCTGCGCTGCAGTCACGCTACTAAACGCCCTAATGTGAAAGCGCTCTAAGGGCCGTCGGGCGTAGTGATACTGTCGCGCGTTTCGTAAACAAGCGACAGCATCGCAACTAACGCAGGTTAGTCACATTTGCAACGCACTACAGAAGCGATGCTAACGCGCTACTATCGCGCTACAGCAGCGCGACTGTATCGATGCAAACGGTCGGACGACAGCATCGGAGAGAGAACGGAACTAGGGTTACTGAATCGTGTTTGCATTGCGACAGAAGCGCTTTTATGCGAGGGAACACAGCTAAAGCCTGGTCCGTGAGCACGTAGAATCCCGTCCAATGACCCCAAGCCGCCCATCCTTGTCGCTCGCACGTAATTATGTTGCTGTCACGCTCGCACACTCACTGCGGCAGTCGCGACAGCAATATAATTACGCGCGAGCGATAAGGATGGGTAGCTTGGGGTCATTGGACGGGATTCTACGTGCTCACGGACCAGGCTTTACTAATATCGAATCGAATACAATACGGTCCGCCCCGGGTGCCAAGCATCAGGTGGTGACAGATCGCGTAGATTAGTACTGCCACTGTCTTCGAGTGCACGCGTGCCCGGCACTAGGGGAGAGTTGCGGCGTGTGCACGGGCCGCGCCGAGCCGCTGCAGCCCGCGCCGCCCGCCAGCACGCTGCCGCCCGCCGTGCGCGTGGCGCGCGTCGCGCCCGGCTACCACCCCGTGCTCAGCGACGCGCAGGGTGAGTGCTTAGGATAGGGTGTTCCAAGAGGCAGATGAAACGCCACTGCCATTCTCACGGACTGCGGACCTTTGATGACCTAGGCAAACATCCAAAAGGCTTCCACATACCAAACGCGGGTCAGAAGCAGTGCTGGTCAGTTGCAGCGCGGCAGTAGACAGTGCCTACCTGCTATAGTCTGGTCCGTGAGCACGTAGAATTTTGTCCAATGACCCCAAGCTACCCATCCACATACGTAGATTTCAACGATTTAGGCGGCCAAAACCCAGTTTTCCAAAATCAATCTATTGAAAAATAAACCATGTACGCGGGTAGTACACACTTCCAGGAATACCATGGTACCTTTTTCAATGTTCAACGAGCGCAAATCTACCCTCTAGAGTAGTCTGAATGCGATAGTTCGCTTAACGTGTATGTATTTGTTTTCGGGCGCTCTTAAACTTACAACTTTTGTAAATTGCATATTTATTTTCAAAACCATTGTTTTCGAGTAACTGTGGTGGATTGCGATAATTAAGGATAGAGCCTATGTTTTTCAACAGTAATTTACTTAGTTTTTGTTTTCCTAAATATATTTAAAAATTGTCAAAGATAGCTGTATCAGAAATGAGATTTTTTTTGTATTTTTTATTTTAAAGTGGTCGTTTAACTAACTTCAGGGTCCGTCCGAGCAATAATTTCTTTATTTTTTAATAGTTTACATATTGTTCTTAAAATCTGCAAAAAAATTTGCCGCGGAAACCCGCGCTTTTTTAAATTAACAGTATTTGAAGATTTGGAGAAAAAATTGAGCAAAATATCATTTTATTGCTACTTTGTATTAAATCCATTTACTTTTTATTTTAGGCCTGTCTGGTGCCTCGGGTACTAAAGTAGTTACTCGGAATTACTTATTTGACCAGATACAAAGGCAAAATTTACCAAGTTTCAGTGATAAACTTGATTTTTATGAAGATTTTCTTTTGAGTCGTTATGGAGACACAGAAAATGCTGAAAAGAGTTTGAAGCAAAGTTCTTCTTATGTGAAAAGCTAATTCAAGAAGAGGTGGATGAAAGCCAATAAACATGAAGAAGTGTTTTTGGATGGGTAGCTTGGGGTCATTGGACGGGATTCTACGTGCTCACGGACCAGGCTTTACCACCCCGTGCTGAGCGACGCGCAGGGTGAGTGCTTAGGATGTGGGGTGTGGTGTGCAGGGTGAGTGCGGGGCAAAGACCTTTAAAGGGGGGCGCGGGCCATCAGTGTACTTAAGTATAAGAAAGAAAAAGAATCGAATCGAAGTACTAACACGATTTTGGAACAATATTATCCAAAATTGAACACGTATAAACACTTTATAAGATCACCACATGCCATAATGGACAGCAATCGCTAACCAATCTATTTCTTCTTGCAGACATACCCGAGTCAGTCCACGTGTCAGCGCTAGTGTCGCGCTCGTGGTTCCGACCGCGCGCCGGGCCGGGCCGGCCGCGCGGCGCGCACCACGCGGCCCTACCGCGCGCGCACGCGCAGGCCCCAGCCCAGCCGCCCAGCAGGCTCCACAAGAAACACCCCACGCGTAAGTAATCGATCCACAAAGCTATAGGTTTTTCGTCGCATCTACGCCCAAAACACGCCGAGTAGGCATCAAGAATCGCGTGAGTAATTGATAGTAGAACACACTTTATTGTATACCAGACCAGACGAAAAAATATACACAAAAATATAGGGGGGGACAATTGACACAAATCAATAGGTTTTTGCTTTGCACCTAAGCGCAGAACACGCCGAGTAGGTATTACTAGAAATGCCATAGGCGTGAGTAGCCGATCTACAAATCTTTGCGCCCAAGCCCAGGCGTCCAGGAGGTTCACAAGAAACGCCCCACGCCACGCGTGAGTTATCGGTCTATAAATCTATAGTGTGTCGCTGCTTCGCGTCCAGTAGCTACAGGCATCAAGAGAAGCCTTCAACGCATAAGTGACTGGTCCACAAATCTATGTCGGCACTAAAGCCTGGTCCGTGAGCACGTAGAATCCCGTCCAATGACCCCAAACTACCCATCCTTATCGCTCGCGCGTAATTATATTGCTGTTGCGACTGTGCGACGCGCGGACGGACCAGGCTTTAGTATCGCGCGCGTGGTTCCAGTCACTACCACGCGCTCACGCTCAAGCTCAAGCCCAGACGCCCAGCAGGCTCCACAAGAAACACCCCACGCGTGAGTAACTGCTCCACAAACACTAGGTCAGTCCACGCGTCAGCACTAGTATTGCGTGGTTACGGCCGCGCGGCGCGCACAACGCATCACTACCGCGCGCGCACGCGCAGGCTCCAGCCCAGCCGCCCAGCAGGCTCCACAAGAAACACCCCACGCGTAAGTAATCGATCCACAAAGCTATAGGTTTTTCGTCGCATCTACGCCCAAAACACGCCGAGTAGGCATCAAAAATCGCATGAGTAACTGATAGTAAAACACACTTTATTGTACACCAGATCAGACGTAAAATATACACAAAAATATAGGAGGGGACAATTGACACAAATCAATAGGTTTTTGCTTTGCACCTAAGCGCAGAACACGCCGAGTAGGTATCACTAGAAATGCCATACGCGTGAGTAGCCGATCTACAAATCTATCTTTGCGCCCATGCTCACGTCCAGGCCCAAGCAGAGGCGCCCAGCAGGTGTAATAAGAAACGTCCCACGCGTGAGTAATCGCTCCATAAAATATCTATAGTTAGTGTCTATAGTCTGTCGCTGCTTCGCGTCCAGACCACGCCGAGTAGGCATCAAGAAGCCTTCCACGCGGAAATCAATGTCAGCACTAGTATCGCGCGCGTGGTTCCGGTCACTACCACGCGCATACGCGCAAACTCATGCACAGGCGCTTAGCAGGCTTCACAAGAAACACCCCACGCGTGAGTAACTAGTCCACAAACACTAGGTCAGTCCACGTGTCAGCGCTAGTGTCGCGCTCGTGGTTCAGACCGCGCGCCGGGCCGGGCCGGCCGCCCAGCAGGCTTCACAAGAAACACCCCACGCGTGAGTAACTAGTCCACAAACACTAGGTCAGTCCACGTGTCAGCGCTAGTGTCGCGCTCGTGGTTCAGACCGCGCGCCGGGCCGGGCCGGCCGCCCAGCAGGCTTCACAAGAAACACCCCACGCGTGAGTGACCAATAAGTACAAGAAAATCTTTATTCGATCTGCATATCGATAGGTTTTTGCTTCGTGACCACACCCAAGCGCCTAGCAGGCTTCACAAGAAGCACCCCACGTGACCGATCTGCAAATAATCACTGCAAAATAGTTTTTATTGTCACCATTATCAGTCACCACCACGCGCATACGCCCACGTCCAAGTGCCCAGCAGGCTTCACAAGAAACGCCCCACGCGTGAGTGACCAATAAGTACAAGAAAATCTTTATTCGATCTGCATTTATATAGGTTTTTGCGCCCTCATTCACGCTCATGACGAGAACACGCCGAGTAGGTATCAAGAAACACCCCACGCGTGAGTAACCGAAAACAAATCGTTAGGTTTTTGCGTCACGCCTACGCCGAAAACGCGACCAGTAGGCTTCACAAGAATCACCCCACGCGTGAATATTTGCCCGGGACTTACTCTCGAGGCAGATTGAGCTGAACCTCATGGCCTTTTGTTTCCTGTATTTAATTTACTTTAGTTTTAATTTTAATTGTAACTTTTAAATTTTGGTTGTGGGAAACAATAAATGATTTTTATTTATTTATATTTATTTATCCGGTCCACAAACAACACAATACGTTTTATTTCCCTCATTATCAAGTCAACGCGTCAATTGCACTATAAATTATGGATAAGAATTAACATTTCTCATCTTAATTTTCAGGGTTGAAAAGAGGAAGACCGCCGCTGTCCCGGAAGATACGAGAAAGAGACAGGGAAGATGACACTTCTGTATCAAGCGAAAGGTACGTTTTTTCTATTTCTAATCTAATTTGTTCACTGTTACTGACAATAGTGACTGAGTTTCTTGCGCTGCTTCTTGCCAGCACTGGCCCATATTATTGTCCCGAAGCTGTGGTAAGGTTGGGACGTGTAAAAGTGCTCTTCAAAACCCTACTTACTTCTAAAAAACAAATACAATATCGCCCAAGGAGTGCAGATGCTATACAGTGTGTCCGGGCATGTAGTGATCAAACTTTAAGGGCGTAATCTATGGACAATTTTATCGATGAAAATACTTCAAATTTTTGGCTTGACCCATTTCTCGAAAAATTACATCGATTTAAGTTTTTAAATTTTAGTTTACACCTCTTCTTTAAAAAACAAGTGAAAGCGTGGGTAGCTTAACATTAATAGGCAAATATTTTATATCATGCGATAGCCAATAAAATTATCTATTAGTAGAAGAAGAAACCAGACACAAGTTTCATACATTTTATGGGAGTAAGAATGGATTTCATTAGAAAAATACATTACTTTTTTCACTTCTTTTTCAGTTATTTTCCAACACAAGAAAAACCAGGTCGTTAAGGTATGTTTTATTTGCATTGTATTTTTAGTATTTGAGCTATTCTACAAAACGAATGTAAATTTATTAGTCTACGTCTATTAGTTTCGACGTAATTGTTGAACAAAGATACCCCTTCCCAGCGGTTTCCATAGTAATCGGAATAGGTTGTGTGATTCTTTCAGGCAGTGCATTTTCGCATGTCGCGTGCGCTATGGAAACCGCTGGGAAAGGGTATCTTTGTTCAACAATTACGTCTAAACTAACAGACGTAGACTAATAAATTTACATTTGTTTTGTAGAATAGCTCAAATACTAAAAATACAATGCAAATAAAACATACCTTAACGACCTGGTTTTTCTTGTGTTGGAAAATAACTGAAAAAGAAGTGAAAAAAGTAATGTATTTTTCTAATTAAATCCATTCTTACTCCCATAAAATGTATGAAACTTGTGTCTGCTTTCTTCTTCAACTAATAGATAATTTTATTGGCTATCGCATGATATAAAATATTTGCCTATTTATGTTAAGCTACCTACGCTTTCACTTGTTTTTTAAAGAAGAGGTGTAAACTAAAAATTAAAAACTTAAATCGATGTAATTTTTCGAGAAATGGGTCAGGCCCCAAATTTGAAGTATTTTTATCGATAAAATTGTCCCTAGATTTTGCCCTTAAAGTTTGATCACTACAAGCCCGGACACACTGTATATGACGTAGCGAGCTTCCTAGAAGATGCCTATTCACGCGTGTCTTGAAGGCCTTAGAGTTGTATAACTTCATTCATCATCATCATTTCAATCATAGGACGTCCTCTGCTGAACATAGGCCTTCCACAATGCTTTCCATGTTGCCTGATTGGTAACGACCTGCGTCCACCTTCTTGCTAACTTTACTAACTTTACAATGTCTTCGGTCGCGTACCCTGAACGTCCCATCGACCGTCAGTTCTGCATACTATATGCCCTGCCTATTGCCACTTCAGCTTGCTAATCCGTCGGTCCAGTGATGACTTATGATTCGGAGACGTGGCCTCTCATTATAGGCCTTATACAGAAGCTCAAAGTTGCACAGCGCCCTATGGAAAGGTGCTCGGTGTTTCTTTACGAGATCGAATCAGAGCCTTAGTCATCAAAATGACAACCGGGACGCAAAATATCCACAAATAATCGAAATATCCGAAATAGACAATATTATTATGAGAAGTTGTCTTTTAGCGAAGTTGACATTTTAAGAAGTTGTAATTTCGAGAAGTGGACATTTTGCATCCCGGTTGTCATTTTGAGAAGATGAGGAGATCCGTAAACGAACTAAAGTGCTAATTTCGTTCATTAATTTATTATTATGTATTTAAATTGTATTGTTTATCCTCAGAGGGCGCGGCCGACCGAGCACGGAAAGCCGCACGCGGCGCGCGTCGTACGACATCGACAACATTGTCATACCGCAGAGCGTAGCCGCGGCCACGCGACCGCAGATACTCACCTACAAAGAGATCATCACGCCCAAGTTAGTACTGACATCGATTAACATTAACCCTCTTATTAATAAAAGTTACACCCTAGTTGAACTCTGTTTTAAATGAAAATGACACTTTAAAACAGTGTTCAACTATAGTCTGGTCCGTGAGCACGTAGAATTTTGTCCAATGACCCCAAGCTACCCATCCTTATTGCTCGCGCGTAATTATGTTGCTATCGCGCTCGCACACTCACTGCTGGTGCCAGTCGCACAGTCGCGACAGCAATATAATTAGGCGCGAGCGATAAGGATGGGTAGCTTGGGGTCATTGGACGAAATTCTACGTGCTCACGGACCGGGCTTTAGGATGTAACTATTAATAAGGAGGTAACTTCTTTTCTACAAAACTTATACGCGGGTTGAACTGAACACTAGTATAAAATGTCATTCCATATTGTTTCTTTACAACGCGCGTTTAAATTTTGCACTATATTGATATCAACCAAAGAGGGTCCACTGCTGATCAAAAGCTTGTGGGAGAACTACCTATATAACGTATTTCGGCACTGTATTGACCCCAACCAAAACGAGACCATCCTAATGGCTCAAGTCCCCTTAGACAAGTGGCAAAATGTCGAAAGGCCTTTTTTGCATACATAAAAGGCATTTTGATCTTCTTTCCATCTGTTCTCCATAGAGTTACAACAGATTCCATTTTAGATTCGATAAAAAAGTGCCACTTGTTCTGTTCTGTCTTGTGCAAACGTGAGGGTCACAGAGCATTCAATCAAATAGGTGAGCCATGGTCAAAAGTTACATTGTTGTCATTGTTTGTTCTAGATGGCGAGTGCTTGAGATTCCTGAAGTGCCTCTAAACAATGGGGTCTCCAAATCAGACCGATACTCGGTGGAATCTGATGTATGTATTTTATACTTCTTTTTGGTTTTTGAATGTTTTTTAATTCAGTTAAGTTAGATCAAGATTTGGCGCTTGTGAACTGTAGCAAAATTCCATTTACTGTGAAAACTATAAAAATAAGGTAATTCATAGTTCTAAAAACGTTAGCGTCAAATAGTTCGCGACACCCAAAGTAGGCAATAAGTCTTTTCGCTTCGCAACACGTCTTTATTGCAAGTGGCAACTTTTTGGTCACTTACGTCAGTAAGAGATCAAAAGTCAGTCGTCAGATTGACTGACTACTGATGCTGACTACATGACTGTATTGCTACTACATCTCTTGATCTCGCACATGAAATTGATTGAGTGGACGTCAGAATGGCGGGTGTATTGTCACAAAAGATGATATTGTTCCCGTTTTATGGAGGTAACTACGGGAAGATGAAGGTACACGATAGGTATGTAGATTTATTTCATATTTATATTATTCATTACTGTGAGTACTGTGACAATACACCTGACATTCTAACGTTTACATTGATTTGGTGGTATTAATCCGGGCCTTTTAAAGGTGAGAGTTAATAGACACTTACAGGGCAGATATGTACCATCCCACTTAAGGCGATTAGTGTCCTCAATCCGCGCCAAATGGGCATTTTGTAAAGCCTACTCCTCTTTTACTGCTGGACAGAAATAGTTGAAAAAAATATATGTTATACAACAGTTCAAGGACTACATTTGTGACGTTTGAATTTTCGCTACGTCTCTTTGTTTTGGATTAAAAAAATAAATACGGGACATCGATTTTTTACTTAAATTCCCTACTCCTCCAAAACGGCTATGTTAATTTAAAAGATTTTTGCACGAATAGATTGGGAATTCTTTAATCTTTAAATGACACGTTGCGTTTTTCAATCGAACATTACTTTCATTCATAAATTTTACTTTTGATAAATTCCGAACGTTTTGCTGTTGAGGGGGCCTTCGCGGGGTGCGGGCGGCAGTCGGCCGCTGGCCTTCAGACGGGGAGGTTGTGTCACTCGCTACAAACTGACATTAGCGATCAAAATGAATTTTTTCTTTGGCTAAGTTGCACCACCTGACGTGACCTAACTTTGACCGTAGCTTTGGCGATAACCGGTGTTTTTTGTATGGAGTTAGACAGACTTTTGACGCTTGTCAAAGTTGAAGTAAGATGGTGCAACCCAGCTTTTGTTCGACAATAGATTTTATGTCAGAATTGTTCATAGAGTACGTGCAGTCAGACGATACAATTGAATTATGACGCGCTCAGACGCTATTTTCTACCTGAATAGAATCTATTAGTGTAAAAAAACTATAATTGACTCCAAAACAACTGCACTAGATAAATACAAGTAGAAAAATTATTACGTTATTTATTTACTAGGCCTTTGCAATCAGTATCCAAATTAGGAGCTAGTCAGAATCTGTAACTTAATCGATTTACGTGAAGAAAACAATTTATATTTTTCATACTTATTAGAATTAGATTTTAAATATGTTTCTTCGCGAAAATACCACAATTAAAAATAACACCTGTAACGCCCCTGGGTCTGCGGGTGTCTATGGGTGACGGTAATCATTTACCAACAGGTGATCCGTTTGCTCGTTTGCCTCCTGTCACATTAAAAAAAATTAAGATAAAGTGGTATTGAATTGTTCTATAGAGCTTATTAAAAATATGGATACTGATTACAAAATTAGCCATTTTCGGAGTTGGTGTCGGTGTCCTACCTTTTATTGATTCGTTTTGGAGTTGGTTTTAATTTTTAGTGAAATTAATCTATTTCATGCCTTTAGTAGACTATAGGTACCCAGTAGACCTTGTTGTTGCCACTGAAGGTGCATAGGTACTCAGTACATTGATACCATATTTTTCATGTTAAGTGAAAATAAACTTCCCTAAATTACCAAACCATGAAACGTACCTATATTATTAAAAAGTTTCGCAGATAAAAACTGAAATCAATGAAAAAATGATGAATTTTAGGAGCATGTCATGAAACCAAAATTATTAGCATACAAGAGCTTGTTTATTAGAGAATAAATTTTATAATAATACATTAACTTAAAATGACTTAAAAACTAAAAATTTAAAATTACTAATGATAAAAACTATTTACAAAATAAAAAATACTTCACCCCCAGCGCCGCAGTCAGGAATGGTGCCCAAAAGGCTGGCAGCATTGCCACGTTGAATGGCCAGGCTAATTCTCTGGCCGAAATAGCTGCCAGCCTTTTGATTTATGATGGGGAATTTACTGCGGCGTAGTAGCAGAGATTTTCCGTTTGTAGATCGTAATAATTTCGAAGAATAGGGATGTTTCGTGGATAAAGCAAGAAAGTAGCAAGAGTTTGAATAAGACCGTCGGTGAACTTACCAAAAAAAAAACTCTAAATGTATTTTTCACTTTTTTAAACTTATGAAAATTTCTAGGTACTTGCTTATACAGGGTCAGGGGTTTGTCATCTAGCCTAGTTGTCGTCAGGAAGTTGGTCTAACTAATTCAGCTTGCAACTAATTCAGCTTGCAAGATTCCACCCGAACAAACATTTATGTAATTACCTACATACATCATAAATTGCAAGCTAAATAAAAGCTTGTAATAAAGTCGGGTTTGTTCAAATTTCGAGAACGACTGAACCGACAAAAGCATTAGAAAATTTACGAAAAATAAAATAAAATTTTATCCCGTACAAAATGTTCATGGATTTTGTTATTTTTATTAAATACCTTTACGCCTGAGTTAAATGACACCGACATCAAGGTTCATCAATTTAAGTTTAAAATAATAGGCAGTAATGTATGAAGAAAGAGCTTCTATTCTGTATCTACCTATGCCCGTGTATTTTTGATCGGTGTCAAATCGGAGTTTTTGGTGCGGGGTACGCGGGTGTTGCTCGCGGCGTGAAGGTCAAACGCCCAAGGTCATTGAGGACTCTAATCGCCTTAACGACATGGTGCTTAAATACTTGCTTTGTTATGTATAAAAAAAGTCTCGTTAGTAGTATCAGGCCTGTTCGTTCATCTCCGCGAATTTACATCGAAAACAAAACGAACACGATGGCACCCTACAGGATTACTATTTGACAAGGCCTCACATAGGAGCGAGCATTGACTCACGCACGCGTATTCTTGTGTATGATGGAAAAAAATAATAATAAAAACAGAATGTACTTTTTTAAGTTGCTTGAAGACACTGAGAGGTAAATAAGTGGTTAATATTATTCATGATAATTCATGCATAATCATGTATTTCCTCCGTCATTTTCTGCAGTTTGGCACCTCTCGTCACATCATTTTACCGAAGTCAGCCCCTATAGCTTCGGCGCAGTGCCGATCACTGATGTTTGTCAACAAAATGGTGCTTGACTCTTGAGACAAGCTAAATTAAACACCATATTGTTAATGACATTGAGCATACATTTTTTTAAATACCTTCGCGAAGTAATACTTCTGTACGTAGTACTTATTATTATTCTGTGGTAGTACTTATTATTATTCTGTGGTAGTATGCTGGGAAAGAAGTAGAGGCAGACAAGCAAAAAGATGGGAGGACGATATCCGCGAATTAGCAGGGCCGTTATGGCCATAAATGGCTAGAAACAGAGAAGCATGGAGATCATTGGAGGAGGCCTATGTCCAAGGACAAACTGGAGATGAGTGCAGCTAAATTGTAAAATGAAATGTTAATGTTGTAAAATACCTTGTAATCCAGTAATAAAGGCTTTCTTTTTTTTTCTTTTTTCAGCCAAATGACGTCCACTGCTGGACAAAGGCCTCCCCCAAGGTTTTCCACAATGAACGGTCCTGCGCTGCTTGCATCCAGGCTCTTCCCGCGACCTTTACCAGATCGTCGGTCCACCTAGTAGGAGGCCTGCCCAATCAGATTGATCGAATCAGAATAAAGGCTTATATTATTATTATTATATTATTAGTATGCTGGGAGCCTGACACCAAACCCAATCTTTCAGGACGAGGACGTATCCGAGGCGGCAGTCGCAGCGCGTCACGTGCGCGCCGAACAGCGCGAGCGAAGCCGCTACGCTCGCAAGCCGCGCCGCCGCCACGCGCCCGACGCGCCAGACGCCCAGCCTGAGCCGCCGCCAACCCAGCCTGAGCCGGTGCCGCCGCCGCCGCAAACGCCGCACGAGGTACTTACGATGACACACTTATGCTGGATTTCACAAACAATCGTTAATGTTTAATTGACCCCTATGTAAACAAAATTTCTGTTATTTGTTACCATAGGGGTCACTTAAAAATTAGGGATTAATGGTGCAAACGGGCATTAGACGATTATCACACTGCACCGCGCTCCGCCGCGGTCCGCGTGATTTCATATAAAAAATCACGCGCGCGGACGCGTTGTCAGTGTGAAGTGCCGCGCGTGTTTTCTATACAAACTGAGATACTTGCATACAATGATTAAATCTGTCGTCCCGCGTACCGCGGCGGAGCGCGGCGCAGTGTGATAACCGCCTTATGCCCGTTTTCACCAACAATCCCTAATTTTTAAGTGACCCCTTTGAAAACAAAATTCATATTATATGTTACCATAGGGATCACTTAAAAATGAGGGATTGATGGTGAAAACGGGCATTAGACGATAATCACACTGCACCGCGGTCCGCGTGATTTCATATAAAAAATCCCGCGCGCAGACGCGTTGTCAGTGTGTTGTGCCGCGCGTGTTTTCTATACAAATTGAGATACTTGCATTCAATGATTAAATCTGTCGTCCCGCGTACCGCGGCGGAGCGCGGCGCAGTGTGATAATCGCTTAATAGTAAGCTTTCAAGAAGAGAGCGTATCTTCACATTAAAGGCCGGCAACTCACCTGTAACGCCCCTGGGTCTGCGGGTGTCTATGGGCGACGGTAATCACTTACCATCAGCTGATCCGTCTGCTCGTTTGCCTCCTGTCACATAAAAAAAAAAACCAATGCCTGTTTTCACCATCAATCCCTAATGTTTAAGTGACCCTATGGTAACACAGTAGAGATATAGAGCGATGCCAACTAATGCGCTGAGTTCGAAACTCATTGTCGCATTAGAAATTCACACACACAAAGTAACTCATTATCCACTGCGGTATTTACTCAACGTTCGAATAATCGTTAGTACTACGCAAGCAATATAAACTTTACATTATAACGTCTCTGCTGTCATCATTGCTATCACGAGAATTGTGTTCTGTTTTTGGGCATATTGTTGCGACTTGCGATACCGGCCCCGCCCCCTTTTACATCTCCCTTTAGTTTCTGTAATCTGTGGGTGACACAACAGGAATTTTGATTTCATAGGGGTCACTAAAAAAATAGGGATTGATGGTGAAAACGGACATCAATCTCATAAATGATGAGATTGTTGAGTGACATTAAGTCTGAAAATTATGAAGCAGCAGTAAGAAGGTCTGAAACAGATTTTTTATTTTTGGCAAACCCTTAATTCTCTTCAAAGAACTCAGTCCTGATACTCCTAATATTTTTATTCGAATCCATTCGAAGAAGACGAGTGTTAAAAAGAACCTTGAAAAGAAGGCTGACAATAGTGACTGAGTTTCTTGCGCTGCTTCTTCTCAGCACTGGCCCATTTATTGTCCCGAAGCAGTGGTAGGGTTAATATTGGGACGTGTAAAAGCGCTTTTTTAAAGCCTATTTGCAAAAATAAATGAATTTTATGAATTTTATTTTATGAATTTTTATGGGACTTGATACTTTTATAACAGTTTATAAAATAACTTGCCGACCATTCATAGTTCATACCCTCTATAATCGCCAGAAATAATATTTTCATTCACACTCTATAATGTTCCTTCTTGCACAAAACTAAATCTTCATTCTCCAATAATAAGATTAAAATAACTTTGTTTGGCTTGTTCTGACAGTTTCCTTTCATTCATCGAGGAGGAAAATAAATAGACACAGAAACACTGAACTCAATGAATTTAGGCTTTATTTATAGGTAACTGATTTATTTGTTACTGGTCATGGAACTTTACACAATAATTTTAGGTTATTTGATAACGGTTTTGCTAACAATGAATGCTTACTTCACCTCACATTAAACTACTCGGCTACCCTAACTACTAATTTCGGGTGTTTTTTTTATAAACATTGCTTGTCTGTTGACGGGGATCTAATATAAACTCATCTAGAAATTCGACTCGGTAATACGATTTGAACCTGAATTTCGGGCTATGTATTAAATTAAATACCATTTAACCGCGGTATCATTTCTCGGTTTACCCGCGTTCAAATTCAGGGCTGCGAGCCGCCATGGCCACTTTATAATAACAAACTAAGAGGCTGCACACATTATCGGGACAGTGGCTAGAGATTTTTAGGTGACGAATAACAATGTACCTTATACTTTTAACGATACGGTTGAAATTGCAACATGGGATGGTGCTTCGGTATTCCTATACATGCCGGCTCGCTAAAACCATAAACATTGCAATTTGGTATTTGCCACCACTCCCCAATAATTATAAAGCACAACTTTTTTAAAAATTCACTTCATTCTGGTCTTAAAAATTTAATTAATTATTACCTGTAATAAGATTTTTGTTTGCATTATAATAGAAAATTGAGTTGACAAAATAGTGACGTTACTGGCTAGTATTGCCATACAAAATCTATGGCAGTCTTGTTTTGACAGTTTTAAAAAGTACGCCAATTGGTGGTGGCAAATACCCTATTTGAACCGTAGCGCTAAAACTATAAAGTCTATTATTCGTCGCCTAAAAATCTTTTGTCCCAAACGTGCGCAGTCCGTAACCGGCTATACCGGGTGTTGCAGACGGTTCGGCCGTACTCGCCGCGGCGCTTCCCGCTGCCCGACGCGGCCTACCAGGCCATGGTGGCGTGCATGCCTGACGGACACCTGCCGCCCGCGCCCGACAGCCCGCAGGTAAACAAAACACCGTCGCCGCATGAAATACTTTTTTTATTCGTTCGTTTTTTAAAAAGACAACTTTTTTTCTTTTCATAAGTGGACAATTTGTTTTTCGCTTCTTTTTATAAGTTCAAAATGAGTTTGATTTGTTTTGTAGAACTGATGAACACTTTTTTTTGTTTTTTTTTTAGAGAGCATTTGTTTTTTTGTTTCCTTTTTTTTTTAAGAATTTAGTCATATAAGAGCTGATTTTTCAATCCTCAGATATCTTTTACCTGTAGAATAACCTTGTGATTTTTTTGTCATTTTTCCCATATTGAAACTGTCAATGCTCTAAACTTATTCTTCAGTTCTAAGTTATCTGACGATTGAAAAATCAGCCCAAGTGCTCATTACTTGAAAATTAGTATTATTTAGCTCGCAGAAATGGGTACATGAAATCGCATTTGGTGGGAAAAACTGTTTACAGCTAACTTAACTAATATCCTTTATTTGTTGTGTGTGCATGCATGCATTATGCAGTGATTATTATAAATGAGACTGCTACGAAAACACAGATATGCCTTTTAATGTTTCATTTGCAAGAGGTTGAGGTTGAAAAAGCATGAGTAAATTAGTGGGCTGAAGTGAAGAAAATAACCGATAGGTAATTAATAAAATTGAGAATGAAACACATTTAAAAATTTGTGGAGACAATCAACATGTTGATTTAATCGCAAGAATGCTGAATGTTCAACACACTTATTATTTCCAATTCGTCGTATCATTGACATTGTATGAATCTAATGTAATAATATATTTGTGCTATTTCAATAATAATTCATAATCATTTTCTGACATTTGCATGATATTCAATTAATTATGATACTACTTTTTAATATTAAAAACATAACCGTATTTTTTGTAATATTTGCACATCGTATGTACGATAGAATATATTGGAAACTTCTCTTTTTATAACCATTTGTAACCGTATTCTGGCAAATAAATGATTTATTATTATTATATAATTATTTTATAAATATAATCAATTCAGTGGTGTTTCCTCTCGAATTAGCATCAGTCATTTAACAACCTCTTGACGTTTGACCGTAAGCTAACAGAATAGAAATAAAACACATATTGAAATTATTATAATTTTTCCCAGCCGGAGCTGCCTCCGGACGAAGACACCAGTTCGCTGTCGCCGCTCTCGGTGTCCCCTTACGGCGGCGACGACCCCGACGACGCCGAGTGGGAGCCGGCGCTCGAGAAGAACGCCTTCAGGTGAACACCCTGTATCGCACCACCGCTCAACTGTTGCAACTCGGAAACTTGCAATTTGGGTACTCACACCAGTCAATAAGGGCACATCATACTGTTAAAGCCACGTTTTCACTTTACATGTCTCAGAGATAAGTCGCCGACATTCACGTAGTTTGTCCAGTGCCGTAACTAGGGCGGTGCCAGCGGTGCCCAGGCACAGGGCGCAGACCCTGGAGGGGCGCAGAAATGACCAGACCAAGCATTTTTCAAGGGCGCAGTTTTGAAAGCTCGCACCGGGCGCATAAAAGGCTAGTTACGGCACTGAGTTTGTCTCTGCAACTTTGTCCCTCGACATATGACTTGTTCACACTAGCCAGTAGTGAACAGTATGTCGCCCGAGGGGCGACACAAAGCGACACGCGTCCTCACTACTCAAAGGCTGTCGGGCGATTGTCGAGGGACACGAAAATCGCGCAGGTCGACGCCCGCAGAGCATCGACAAGCGACAAGTCTCGCGACCCGTAGATGACATCGCGCGGGACACGTGAATTTCTTGTCGGGCGACAGAGTCGCGGGATAAATGTCTCCTAGTGAAAACGCGGCTTAATACCTAGCGGAATAGACCAACAAAGGACTGAGCGAGCGAGATGTCACTAGCAGCAACATTGTGTGAAACCGTAACAGAACCGTTTTTTGCAACTATTTGACAGTTCGTTAGCATTCATTGGCTCACTAAAAATTTGAGCTCTGAGATTTTTTCAGATTTTACGTGAGTGAAATCGTGTGAAATGAGAAATGTGCTTCATTTCATAAACGTGGTGACTGATTCAGTGATTGATTAATGTACTAAACAGTGAATAATCCTGAAAACTGACACACAAATGACATCTAGTGACATCCTAAAATTGGTTTTGTTTGATAGCTCGTGGTTGTTGCTCTATTCCGAAGGAATAATAACTTATGGGGCAACCGTATTTTCGTCCGCTAGTAGACGCTACTGGCGAGTGATAGGACCTTATTCTACAGTGACGCTACCTACAAGTGAGTGCAAATACAATGATACTCATATCGTGTTTACGCTCAACAGTTTGCGCTACATTCTTAGCCACAGCGAGTGACAGAACCTTACTAGACGGTGGCGTTCTAGCGAGCTCAAATACGGTAGTCCACATTGACATACTTCTAAAAGAACGCTTTCAGATGATGCGCTAAAATATGTAATACCACTTCAAAACGGTAGTAACTGGAAAACTTGAGTAGTTGAAACCACACTCAATTGACATACTTTTTGTGCTGTAGAAGGCACCAATCCCATATATTTTGGATAGCAATTCTTAGTTGTCTTGGAAATAATGATGTCAAGAACCCAATTCCATCTGCACGCAAAATGATTGCCTAAATTCTAGTGTCGAGGACTACACTACACACACTTCCATATTTTATCATAAACCAATTAAAAGTAGCAATTCTACAAGCTCTTCGTGGTTCTTAGATATTATCTTGGAAACAAATGCCTACTCGAGTTCGAATTAAAATCTTCTATTTTGAGTTGTCTCAGTTTAGATCTAGGTGTGCGATATATCACTGCGGCCACAAAGTACAACATGCAACACAGAGCCCCGATTACGGTAATATTTAACGTCTCCAATCCAGACACGCTTCTCGATTCTGCGATACGATTGGTCGTTCAACAGCGTACGTCAGCTGTTTTGACCAATCGTATCGCAGAATCGAGAAGCGTGTCTGGATTGGAGACGTTAAAAATTACCGTAATCGGGGCTCAGAATGAATGTCATTGATGATGATGGTATGAATGCACGAGTGTTTAATGAATGAGGGTTTAAATTGACAGTCCCGGGTATCACACGTAGCCCTGTCACTCGAAGAAAGTATTTGATACGTGAGTTTAGGCCATTACATTACTTGCATGAGATTCAGTTCCGTTTATTAAACTTAAAATGACATAAATTAGAAACGTAACTACGTTTTTATGTGTCAAGTTGATTTTTGTTGTTGGGTACATTGTCCCTTTGTTCACTAAGTAGTAAAAGAGGATAAAATAAGCATAACTCACTGATGTTTACGTCATTGAAAACTTTCCTTTACTGCGTAGCTGGCTTATTATTCCTGAAGTTAATGCAGAACAAAGATTTTTGAGTAGAACATAGTGGGATCAAATCGCCACTATTTTGTAACAAAATAAAAAATTTCGACGCGACGGTATCCATTTTCGTATTAGGAGGCCGTGTGCGCTTGCCTTATCTGTGAAAGTCTGATGTCTATGAACGTGCGTGTAAGCATTGTGTGATTTGATCTAAATAGCGCTGTCATTTGTTTCTCAGCAAAGCGAGCCATGTGTTTTGATTCAAAATTAATATTGCCACACAATAGAAAAGAGACATTATATTCTACTGGGACTAAGTAGAAAACAAGTCTGGATTACAGAAATTAACTGAAGAATCAGATAATTAAAGGGCATTTGTAACAACAATAAAATGCTCAATGTTATGTGAGAAGGTAATGATATTTCAAAGGATACAATCAATTGATTTTAGTTTTGCCAATCCTTTTAGAGGAAATGCTCTATGGTGTAAATTTTTTTAAATATGTAAGCAAATACATATTACTGTCATTTAAAAATAAGGGAGATGATATTACATGATATCAGAAACTCATTGTACTTTAATGTGTAGGCCAGCGGTTCCCGAATGGTGGTCCGCGGAACCCTGGGGTTCCGTGGAAAGGCCGCAAGGGTTCCGTAAAAAATATTATCCCACGTTTCGTAACTGACGTTTGTTCGCTCGCACCGACTTGTTTACGCACAAGGGAGGGGCAGGGCGTGCGGGCGGAGTAGTACGGGGGTTCCGCTAGGAAAAGTATAACACTGGTCAACAGTGGTTTTGGTGCCAAGGAACTGTATACATTTTTTGATTGAGGACCTTTTGCTGGTTGCTTTAGTAGTAAATTTGTTGATTTCCTACGTGTGGTTTTCTAGATTTTGACGTGTATAGAAAAATACAAAATTTGACCAAAATCAGCGTTTATAATATTTTTAAATGCTTAAAAACTTTATTTTCCACGACTTTTGTGAATGAGGTGTAATGGAACTATCACGTTACATCCTCCAGCAGTAATCAGCCATCATATACCGATCCCATCTGCCTTGGTACCTCTCTTCCAATGGTTTTTAGGTCTTGATAGCATCGCTCTCCCTATTCTTAGTTATAGCATGCTATAGTGACCCAAGATTCTCTGGGAATTGGTCAAGATGACTGTGGAGGTAGTGCTCTTTGATGAAAATTATGACATCCTGAGTTTTTAAGGCATGTCTCACAATTTTAGAGTAGTTACTGGGCTAGTGATTTCCGAAAAAAAAATTGTAATTTTAATTAACAAAATTTATGCATATCGTTCCAAATAGTCCATCGAACTTAAGAAATCAGTATCTTGATTTTTATAGACCATTAAAAATTACTTAATAAATTAATTAAAAAAAAAATTATGCTCAAACTAGGATTTTTTTTTTGTTCTTTCCTCACTTTCTCCACTCTGAACTTCATGTTACGGCTTCTTTGACCATTGTAACATGGCCTTAAGTGTTCACAGCAGATTATACAAACAATTTTGGGTATCCACGACTTGAATACAACCACAATTTCCGACTTAAAGTAAGAAAAATAAGCACTTTTAATAAAATATTGCCTGAATTTTTGAACTTTTTAACTGTGTACACACCACAAATGTAACAAAAATACATTTTGATTATTGAGACAACTTCTTGGCGATGTAGACATGATATTAAAATAAATGCATTTGTAAAAATGTACCGATAACACTACAAACTGTGCAACCAAAGTACCGATTAAAGCTAAATTTTAAAACTGAGGGTAGATCCAAAACTACACGTAGGAAAAAAAAAAGAAATATTTTTATTATTACTAATACACACCTAATAATAAACTATCAACAGAATCTCGGCACCATTTTCATTTTGATTTTTTGTTGACCAGTGTAATCAATTAGGGTTCCTTGGCAAAAAAAAATTGGGAAACCCTGGTGTAGGCATTAAAATGTATGAATATTGATGTTATATGCTTTGAATGTGCAAAAAAACAATGACAAACGCATGTAAATGATTTTATAGTGTAAGAATATGTAATTTACTGTATTTTTTATAATTTAGAACTAATGGCATGCTTTAGATCTCCTGTAAATAGAATGCATGTCTTACAGACAGCAGTCGGAGTAGGATTCAAAATGATATTGGAAATGTATTTGAAAACAAAAAACCCATTGGAATGAATTTGTAAAGATGATGATCACTGATCGAAGACTGAGCATGTTTTTGTAAATAATAATTTTAATTCATTCAATGGCTCATTCATATCATCCACACTATTAGAAAGAAAATTTCTTTTACTTGTACTTTTGATCAACGTTACTGAAGTAGTGTTTAACGGTCGCGCCTATCTATCACTGTTCAAGAGATTGCCAACTTATGATGATTCTTCTCCTGAGAAGTTTCCATCCTCTGCATTGTGCTTTGTGCACGTCTTTATTTGAAAAGCAATTCTCAGCATCGTGGTAACAATTCGCCCTTGGATACTGATTGATTTCACTCAGAATGCCACAGGATTTTCTTTTCGGCACTCTGCCGTTATTGGTGTTGTAGTTTCAACAAAAGAAAAGCCCTGCTAAATGCATCCGCTGGTTCTGTAGCATTAGTCTTTTCAATAATAATATTAGAATATGTGTCGGCAAAATATAATTTTGCTACAATTTTAGTAAAAATGCTATTGTCCAAGTACATTATATTGTTACACTTACCCGTAAACTAATAAAGTTGTCACCAACTGTGAAATTTATAAGTTTCAATTGTTTAAAACATGATTCAAGCCTCAATTAACCGTTAGTTGGTCATAGTAATAACTTTCATTATAATATAAGCTGTAGTTTTAGCATTAGTTTTTGTAAGAATGCTAATTTGACAATCGATGTAAATAATGAAATGTGATTCAGTGAAATATTTTGGTACGCAAGTCGAAAGTATTTTATTTTAGTCCAAACTATCAAAGCTTTAGTGTTTGTATAAGTTTATTGTCAACTTTATACTTAGGTATATGCTTTTGTACAACTGATGAATTTTAGTTTGTTTGTAATTTTATAGAAAGCAAGTGTGACTGCTATTACACCCAGTGTTTTGTAATTAAAATTTATTGATTTACACACGCCCGTTATTACATTCCTCAGTTCACATTGATGCAACTACATATATTTCCTGCATATTTGGTCACTTATAAAGATAAAACTATATGAAAGGGTTTTACTAACCCGTTTTAGTTTTCTTATCAAAAATATTGAAGCTGAGTGTATTTAGATGTTAGGCTGTGTTGCACCATCTTACATACTTACTTTAACAAACATCAGGAATCTGTCAAACTCCATACAAAAAACACCGGATATCGTCAAAGTAACGGTTAAAGATAGGTGGTGCAACTCAGCCTAAATATGTTAGTATAAGGATAAAGTAGTTGGTGTTAACTTGCCCTGAAACCGCATAGCGTTTATGTAAATATAATTACTGATAAAATTGGGCACTGAATAGTAACTTATAGACTGGCTATAAATTTTATATGAATCTCTTAAAGAGTGAATTTCCAGGGGTTCTGTGACCATTTTAAACAATTATAAAATTTTCTGCCAAAGAAATTTCTTTCAAACTAAATAAAAAACAATGTCTTTTATATGGGATCTCTATTATAAAAAGCACTGGAAAATTTCAAAATAGCTCAATTTCACGGAATTCTTAAGAGCCCATTTGTATGATATTGTAAGGCAGCTTGCTTCACGAATATTCACTGTTTTTGAAATTCACTAAAAATCCGTATCAAGAATATAACATAATATAAAAGTCAGAAAGGAAGTGTTTCTATCACATAGCATTTAAAAATATTTACATAATCATACCCATAAGTAAAAGACAAATATTGTAAGGACCGGAATCCTTAATCCTGCTTGGTGTATAAATTAATTGTTCTGTTAATTGTAAGTGGGAAGCATTTTCTTGTGTCATATTTTTTGGAGGCATTGGGTGTGTAAACTAAAAAACAAGTATTTTACTTTGCTATTTTGAAGAGAAGCCAAAGTCTTCTTTTTGTAATGTATAAGTGTAGTTAAGGTTTTTTAAGATGACGACTCAAGTCTTAATAAGATATGCTTGAGAAAATATGTGTATAAAAAGTTACATTTGATGAGTTACTCTTTTGTTTTATTTTAATCCAAATTTCCCTAAAATTAGTCTAAACATGCAAGTGATACTACAGAGTGAAACAAATTATACACATGTAAATTTTATGATTTAATGTGAACCATAAAATGATACAACTTTATAGCTAAAAATCTATCATTGGCCAGGATGCTTTTTGATCCTTAAGCATATTTAATACTTATAGTGTTTGCCATTATATCTAACACAGTAACACTAATATTATAGGATTCAATAGTATTCTTAATCACTAATCATATAGAAAATCTAATAATAATTAAGTACAACAATCTAATTACAATGAGTAAATGTATAAAATAACACAACCTAATATTTTAGGTACAGATTTTCCATAATATAACATGGCACNAATGGCATTATAATTATGTATAGTCAAACAAAAAACGTATATAATCTAATGTGTAAAAAATCTAATAAAATTTTGGTCTCCAGCAGTATTAAGTAATTTAAGTATGTATAAATGTATTTGCAGACAACATAAAACATGTGCGTGCATTCTTTCAACATTGCACTCCCCTCAACCACAGGAATGTAACGTAAGTAACTTTAAACTATGAGTAGATTAGTGTGCAAATATGACTCATACAATGAAGATTTACATGACAGTGACTCATAACAGAGGCCAACATTATGTATGACTTACATATTTAATTACAAGTTTAAACTTTATAATAATAAGCATTACAGCTTTATTTACATTATTATAGTAACATCAAATTCTACCAAACCTAAAAAATATAATCACAATATTGTTTCTTTACACTAATACTGCATATTCACACGACAATCAGATCTACACAGCCACACTTAAGATTCAAAATGTGTTAAGGAATGTTATTTTTAAATTAATTATATTAAACTTATAAATCACAAAATATCAATCCCTTTATTTATGTCTTATCTGCTAGAAATATAAAGCAAGCACCTTATGAAGCTGGATTTTAAATAGTTAATATTGTAAATATGATTTCTTTCTTTACCGTGTTCTTTCTGTACAGTGGCACAATTCGACATTTACCTACTTGCAGGAACATTTTTTTGTTTCTATGCAAGACATCTAAGTCAATGAAAATGTAATACATTTGAGGCATGTAGGTATTAGAAAATTAATTTTACTTTCATGAAAGGAGATATAAAATTGGCAGGTTGGTAAATCCTTGCTATGGTTTTTTGGTTTTCACTTAACAAATGCCTTATGTATAATAAGAGTAACTTTTAGGTATAATAATAAGGATTGCATCATGATGTTAATTGCCTAGTGCCCTATATCAAGAGAAGGTATGTATTGAGGTGTCATTTATTTATTTAAGCTGCCTGCATTGCAATAGTGCACAGTTCTAGTCAAATAAATACATAGATCGTTCCGTCCACGAACATGCGCCCCACCATTCTTCCGCTAATGTTTGAGTGTTATCGGTACACGCTAACTGCACACGCACACTATAATGATAATAACGCTCGGATCAAACTCCTCGCACCCCGCGCTTTCCTCGACCAAAAATTGGTGGGGCGCGTCTTCGTGGATGAACGATCTATACATTATCAAATGTCGTTTTGCTGTGAGGAGTATCCTGAACCAGTGTTAAGGGGCTGTTGTTACGAACGAGGGCATTTGTTTTTTTTTAATGTGAGACAAGGCAGGTATTTGACTGCAATCGCACACGATGTTAAGTGAGATGCAGTCTAAGATGGTACATATTATCTGCCCTGTAAGGCCGCCTTCACATTAGGGTAAGAAGCGCGACAGCAGCGCGGCATATAAGTAGTATGAAAATATCGTCAGCGTGTCTCTTGCGCTGCTAAAGTCGTCTAAGAGCGCTTTCATATTAGGGCGTTAGAAGCGCGGCAGTGGCGTTTTTATAATGTGAAGGCATGCATCCGTTATCACATAGTATGAAATTTTCGGCAGCGCGACAAACGCGCGACAGACGCGCTGCTAAATCGCCTGAATGTGAAAGCGCTCTTAGTGCCTACTCACTCTCGCCCTGAAAAGGCCCGGATAGTGTTCAGTTGATGTTCCTCGAGAGGTCCTGTATGCGGCGCGCGTTGCACTCCTTGCAGTACAAGTGGTTGTCGAGGGGATAGCAGCCGCGGCCCTCCTGCCGCGAGCACAGCGATGCGCCGCAGTCCTCGCAGGCGTAGCACGCGATGTGGAAGCTCTTGTCTAGCGCCACGATCCGAACGGTCTCCTCGGCGCCGCCTTCGGGCACGATCGGCTCCCGACACCGAGCGCAGCGAGGCGCGTATCTGGTAACGGGTATATGTTTAAGTCAGCATTCAAAGCATTGTTGTGTTCCAGCAGTTAGAGGTAAGATAGCCAGTTCCTCCGTGGTTGAGGATTCCGGGTGAAGGTTGCTTCTACCTTCGGCCTGATCGTCACTTACCGTCAGGGGAGATACAGGCCAAGAGCTTTCGTTGTGGAATTAAAAAAATGCCAAGCTTGACAAAAAAAGGCTCATGCCCATATTCAAACATTACTATGAGGTCTCACAGTGCACGTGGGCGCACAGGGTCACACACGAACCAATCACAGAGCTCTATTCAACACTGCGTTTGATTTTCTGCTTCACATAAGCAAGTATCATTTGTGAATACGGATGTAAAGTTCCTACTATTTTCATCCAGCAACTTGGTTATTTTCGTACTTTTTAACTCAAATATTTATACCTAGTCCAACTTGTTGGATGGATTTTAGATCCATATTTTAAGAAGTTGATTCCAAGTGAAATAATATTGTTTATAGAAAACTGAGGAAGAAGAAATGGCAAAGCATTTGCTCATGCAGAGATCTTCACTGCCTGTTCTGGTTTAATTGAAGTGGAAAAAGAACTACAAATGTGAATAAAGTCTGTAAAGAAGGAAATTCCTTTACAAAAAACATACCTTTTATGGAAGTCTTCAATACAATGAATACGGTTCACAGCATCCACAGTAAATGGTATGCCATCTAGGCTCTTTTGGCATACAACACAAGTAAAGCATCGGGGGTGATATGGCTTGCCAGTGGCCCTCAGTATGCGGTCCAGGATAGGATCTCCGCAGACGCAGCACTTTTCAAGTGTGTCAAGATAATCTCTCTCACAAAGGGCACGACCCTGCACTGCATAGAATGGACGCCCCTGAAAAAGGTAATTTATAATTCAGTAAGTTATGTTAATTTATTATAATCAAAAAATAATTTTATAAAGTTCTGTAAAAATACCTGCAAGTTTATACCACACTGCTGGCAACAGAAACATTTAATATGGTAAATTCTCTCCATAGCAGTACACCCAGTGGTTTCACCCATGATCTTTTCCCCACATCTGTAGCAGTTCCCGCAGTATAGCTCCTCATCGGGTTCAGGAGTTGGCTCTGTTGTTGTCCCCACGTAGCCACCATACAAGGATGTTCCTGAAAGCTGACTACAAGGCCTAGGGTTGATGGGTTCATACAAGGATTCATAAGTTGAAGACGTTTGAGAGCCACCATACGTGGAGAAGTCTTGAGCGTTGACAGACGCCGAGGAAGGCGGATAAGCGGAGCCGGGTCGTCGCAACTCACTGTAGTTTGATTGGGCACCCAAATCACTCATTCTAGATACTTCTGATCTTGTATCTCCACCGCCACCGCCGTAGATACTTTCAGCGGCGTTGCGTTGCATCGGAATATTAGAATACACGTGGTTGGTGCCTCCTGGTGGCAGTAAGTTGCTGTACAAGAACACATCTCCACTCCGCGCTCTTGCTGTATTGTTCCTAACGATAAAACTCTTTACTGGCACCAAATTCGAATATGTGGAACTAGTTCGGCTTCCGTATTCAAGTCTTGAAGAGTACGATGGCTCACAGGCTGATTTTACAGAATAACTTTGGGGTATTTGCGGTAGCGGAGGCTTGGTTTTCTTCGGTGGGATGGATGGTTTCATCTTTGCTGCATTTATATCGTCTTGTAATTTGGCATCCAATTCATTCGCATAGATCCTTAGATCCGCTAACTGCTTGTCGAGAGTATTCATCTTTACTAATTAGTAGTCACTTTTATTAATTTATTTCAATCTTTCATTCATGAATCGTAGTAACAAAATCGTTACACCCTATTCCTATTGTTTGACTTGTGTAAAATAAAATGACAGGGAGGAAGGACAAGGACATTTTTGTTGTATTATCTGTGTTTAAATTCCGATTTACGCAATGAGTGAGTTTGTTGTGCATTAGACAGCTTAAGGCTATGTGTACATGATAAAATACCTGTTTTACAAATTAATGACATTCGTTAATCATTAATAATTGTCATTAGACTATAAATAATTAGGTAACGATTGTTAGTTTATCTGCTGCGAAATAATATAAGTACGAGATAAGTAAGATTTTTAGGACAGAATATTAACATTTCAACTTGAAAGGAGACTTAATTTAATTAGTAACAATAAAAATTAAACATGACTGTAGTAGCAATCGACAAAATAACGCAAACTGCCAATTAAAATTTTATAGCTTACTTGCATGATTGGCAGCCGTAAAACGAATTTCATTTAGTGTTTGATACCGTAATAAACTGCAACATGCGTGTTATAAAAAACATTTTGACTGCATTATTGTACCAGGTATTTTTTATTGCTTAAATATTTTAACTTTTATCCATTTTTAGTTGCATTACTTACATTTTGCGATAATGTACCTAATTTGTACGTAAAATTTCAGGCTCTACTCGTATTATCATCCGACGATACAATGGACGAAGATGATGGTTAGTTAGTTTAAATCTGGCTATACGTCTAATTGTATAATGATAATAAAGTTAGATAGTAGTAATGACTACTATCTACTACTCACATGATACTTAAAGGTCGCTCAACGAGAGTTGATGCCATCAACGGTTCAACGGGCAAAAAAAGGCTCTGTATGTCTGCGCTGGCGCGTCTGGCGTAGTCAGACTCACAGAGCAGAGCCCCGATTACGGTAACTTTTAACGTTTCCAATCCAGACACGCTTCTCGATTCTGCGATACGATTGGTCAAAACAGCTGACGTAAGCTGTTGAACGGCCAATCGTATCGCAGAATCGAGAAGCGTGTCTGGATTGGAAACGTTAAAAGTTACCGTAATCGGGGCTCTGGTATCGGACCAACGAGTGCTGTCTGTTTCGCTTCCACCAGACATTAATCAAGAACGAGGCAGCAGTGTGTTGTTTGTGTTCTGTATTCAAATATTACTTACCTACATCAGTGTAAATATTATGTGTTCATCTCAACTTTCGTTCCGAGACCTATATTATAACCATATAAGATTAATTTGAATGCTAATAATCATTTTAATATTTATAGAAATTACAACCACTGAGCAAACAGAAGAAGAGGTAAGTTAGGCACAATTTTATGATTATAATAATTCTAAATATTGTGTTATAATATTTCGTAAATTCCATTTTATTATTTATAGTGGCATATGGACTTCATGCCGGTAAGTTATAATTTTTTAAAACCAATTTATTATTAATATTCTTAATTTGAATCTTTTAGTTTCAGCTTTAAAGGCAAATTTTTATGCGAGTTTTGCTTGGTTTCATTAAAGATATAAAACTTAAGCTGGACATTTGCGGTTAGATAAACTGATAACTTGAACTGACACATCCAAGAAACTGACAGTGTAGATACTGGTACACCGTAAAATACAACATAAGCTAAATTAACTTAGGTATATTAAATTTATGAAGGTTTAACATCTTATATTCAGTTTTTGGATGTACGTCAATTCAGACTGATCATTAAAACTGTCTAGCCTTAGGTAAACCATACTGACAACAAAAATTTTAAATAAAATATTATTTGCAGACCGGATACCTTCCAGACAGTGTATATAGGGAGCTGGCATGGTATGGAATATTACAAATACAGCCACTTCATCATAGCTCGAAGCACAAAGTAGCTGCTCAGTTGATATGGCAGCATACTCTTGGACGACCTCATGTGATTATGGAAAATCCACCGCAGGTAAATCAAGGAAAAATCGATGGCTAGACCGCTAGAACCGTTTTGTATTTATTAACAGTTTTAAGATACTACATAGCTTCAGTTTCTATCCATGTTTTGTGGTAGGTGTCAACAACGTGGATTTCAGTGTAACTAGAAGATTCGATCGGATTGTATATAGGAAATCCCGTAATCCCGATCCAATCCAATTAAAATAAAAAATTTGTAATAATTTTAGCCTTTTATTTTAATTTCAAACTAGGATCACACATTAATTGGGTTACAGTTACAAGTAACAACACATTTTGACAAGAAACATTAAATCGTTTTGAAAATCTGCATTACCTGAGCCCCGATTACGGTAACTTTTAACGTTTCCAATCCAGACGCGCTTCTATTCTGCGATACGATTGGTCAAAACAGCTGACGTACGCTGTTGAACGACCAATCGTATCGCAGAATCGAGAAGCGTGTCTGGATTGGAGACGTTAAAAATTACCGTAATCGGGGCTCTGTAATAACACTACCTTGTTTCTACCAATGGCGCAGTTACACTATGCAGAGCCCCGATTACGGTAATATTTAACGTCTACAATCCAGACACGCTTCTTCGATTCTGCAATACGATTGGTCAAAACAGCTGACGTTGACTGACAGCTGACTGTTTTGACCAATCACATCGCAGAATCGAAGAAGCGTGTCTGGATTGTAGACGTTAAATATTACCGTAATCGGGGCTCAGGAAATTGACCAAGACATATTATGAAACGTAAACGTGTAAATACACACTTCAGTTAGTTTCGCCGTGCGTCGCCCATACTTCGGTGTGCGTGCCTGCGCTTTGTCTCGGTCAATTTCCCGCATAGTGTAACTGCGCCATAAAACAATGAAAACCATAAATATTAAATCAAATAAAGAATAAGTTTCATTTCACGCAATAATTTAATTTTTTTGTTTACAATCTCTTAAGTCTCGGGATTAGTCAAATACAATCCCAAAATTCGGGATAATAGACTAATCCATCACAAATGTCTTCGGGATTCCAGGATCTAATTCTCTAGACGTAACATACGCACGCGCGTCCTTCGATGAAAAAAATATTCTTAAAGCCACAAAAATGTGTTATTTTATGTTTTATTTAATTTTAACTTTACAGTCCTTGCAATCGGAAGGAAAAGTAAGCCGGCAAATTTTAGCTGAGGAAGCAGCAAAGTGGTCAAGAGAACAACGAGCTGCCCAAGAAGTTCTTATGGAAAATATAAAGAGTGGCGGGAATGGCTTGACAGTAAGGACCGTAATCAGTGCCACTACCAAAACTATTTACATAATACAAAATGGTATACTTCTAATCTGTCCTTTTAAGCGCTTCAATTAAATTTTTTGGTTTTTGTGTGTTTGATAGTAGGTCTATATATTATACCCACGTAGGTAAGTACTACCTACTTTATAACATTAAGTTGGTACTACCTAAGTAGGTACTACCTACTTTATAACATTAGGTTTATAACATTAATTTATAGGAAATTACTACAAGTGCCCAGAAGGTTCTGAGCCTGACCTTGAGGCATATAGAGTTCAAGCAAACATGCATGAAAGAAAATGCACGTATGGGAAGCAGTCGATCCCTGTCGTTGTTGATCCATGCATAGAAGCTGAAATGGCACCCATAGAATATTCATTTCATGAAGGTTGGATGTTTTGTCTTGGGAACGGTGAAAGAGAAAATAACTACTTTCAAAATGGAACTTTAGATTGTGGTAACAAAACTAAGGTAAGAACTATGATTATCTTAATAAACCTATGAACGAAGACTTTACTTAATTCAAATTTGCTAGTACATGATACTCACTTAATCCGTATTCTAATCACAGAATCTATTCTACTAAAGAGCTTTTACTCATAGATACAGTAACAGCTTATCGTTACAGGTGGGAGTACACAAGTTTTTGGATATGTGTGCTATAGATAATAACATTGTTATAACTTTTGATTACTTTGGTGACGAACCTCGTAAGGATATGATGCATAATGCTACACTTTGTACTTCGTGGGATCCCTGCCGATTGTCTTATTTGTATCGTCTTGAGGTAAATTATAAAGAATGTATAATGTTACGATATTAATCTATGCTATGCCAGAACAGGCATAGATTAATTCAATCATCTCCAACATCATTACCGGGAGCCTGCAGTAGCCCGGAAGGCTGTAGGCTATTGCTAAAAATAACAATCGTTTACAATGACGCAATCAAGAGGCAAATGCGCTAAAAGGTCTGTTATCAAAGCTAGAAAATGACATGTCTACTGCTGCAACTTATTGTATTCTTTTAGTAGGGGTTCTATTAATATCGCACTTCTGAAATGTTTTGTTACTTTAAGCCTCCTCCTGCTGAAATGACACCTTCATTCCCAACATCAACACCAAATCCATGTGAAACAACTGTTTGCCCGGAGTGTCTAGAAGGTCATACTGATGATCCAGGAGTTCCCATTGAAAGTATGGATTTTATTTTTTTATGTATTTTATTACATCTGCTTACAATTTGCACTGCCCTATGATTAATAAATAAAATATCACGCTTTTCATTAAATTTAAATACTTTAATTTAAACATTAAAATTAATGAAATAATTATATTTTTATTTTATTTTCAGTTTTCTCTGATTAATATGGAAAAATGATTTATGAATTTATAAGATAAAACATTGTTTTTTTTCATTAATTATTAATACTGTTGTAATATATTTATTATACGACTGAATAAATGTTTTTAAAATTTAATGAATTCATTTATTTATAAAATAATGATTAATGATTTTTTTTGTACCTTTTAATTAATTTATTGTGACAGTGTATCCTAAACCTTAATTTAAAAAACAAATTGTCACTGTCAGTTTTGACAAGACGAGGCAAGGGCGATGTCAAAAAAAGCACATACAAAAAACAACTTTGTCTAAATACAATAAGGTCGATTCTTAACAATTAGTATTTCCGTACATGTGGTTGGGAAATTTTGCGATCGTCGTGAATCATTCGCGCATTGAAGTTGAATTTGTTTGAAATATTTATAAATATGGTTGTTAATTTCAACATCACAGATATTTTAGCAAGTACTGCTAAATCTAGTTCTATAACATTACCAAGTTACAAAGAGAACCAAATAAAAATAAGTTTT